CCCAGGTATAAGGAGACAGCAACGATAGACTCCAACTATGGCACTGGCCTGAGAAATAAAGTTCTTAGGCTATTAATGAGGTCAAAAGAAAGTGGATTCAGTTGATTGGGAGACCATGTGATCCTTATTATCCCAGTGATCCTGTGGAGGAGGGTGATTCCAAATCTCCTTCTTAGTTGGGATTTAAGTCCCATTCCACAGTATTCCCGCTAGGACCCTACGTAGGGCTGTGGACTGCCTTTAGATGTGTGCTTTCTGCCCTGCTTCCCTACCTTCCTCTCTGGCTATGAATCTCTCAGGCAGATCTGTGAGGCCCTGGGGTTGGAGAGTGGGCAAAGGACCCACAGTGAAGCCCACTCCCCATAGCGCACCATTACTTTTGCTTCTGAGACCTGGCCCAGCCTTGCCTCCCTCAGAGGCCCAGCATGTGTGACAGCTCTGGCTCATCGGTCACAGTCTCCTCTGTCCTGGTGTCCCCAGGACTTTTCAGGACTTGGCCTTACCTTAGGAAGGGAGAAAAAAAAAAAAAAAAAAAAAAGAATAAACAGTAGCTGGCCTCCAAACATCCAAACATAAATGCCCCAACACTCAGTACAGCCACAGATTCTTATCCCGGGTCTCATGGGTGTGAAGTGGAGATCCACTGAAGCACGTCCCAGAGCCCTGATTACAGAAGTGACGTTGGAAAAACCATAAAAACATGGCAGGCTTCCAGGCCGAAAGTGCATGCGTGAGTGGGAACGAGGCCGAGAGGCTCAAATGAGGAAAGAAGGAAGTCCTGTGAGGACCCTATCGCCAGCAGGCCAGAAATGCAGGTGTCAGCAGAAAACAGGGTGTGTTTGATAAGAAAATGGCTTCACGTGATAGACATTCAAAGATTCCTTAAGTCCCATGTTCCCTTGAGACTTCAAGTTGGTTAAAAAAATAAAAGCCTTTGGGACTGAGGACTGGAAGAAAATCAGAATCCAAAAGATAGGACAGTGGAAGCAAAACAGGCATGGGGAAGCCGTTACCATTTTCTCATGGCCAAGACCATATGAAAAAATCTGCGCTGGAGAAAAACATCTTGAATGTAATAGTTATGTTACACTATGTCATATGGCAGGTACTCAACTATCTTAACTCATTTGGTCTGAGGAGCGTGACATTGGAAGAGCAAAGAGGAAAATGTTTGGGACCTGAAAAGATGAGTGAATTGGGGCAAACATTCATTTAGGTATGGTATTTATTATGGTATATAGCAAGTGCCCATTTCTTTCTTTTTTTTTTAAGATTTTATTTATTTATTTGAGAGAGAGAGAGCAGGAGGGAGAAACAGGGATAGGGAAAGAATCTCAAGCAGACTCCATGCTGAGCACAGAACCTGACACAGGGCTCAGTCCCATGACCCTGACACGGTGACCTGAGCCAAATCCGAGAGTCAGATACTTGACTAACTGAGCCACCCAGGCACCTTGCCATTTATTGAGCACCCTCTATTCCAAACACTGGCCTGGCCTTCTGCATACTTTTTTTTCGAGTTTGGGTTTTTGGGGGGAGGTGGGGCAGTGGTGGTTAGCTTCCACATATAAGTGAAATCATATGGGATTTGCCTTTGTCTAACTTATTTCACTTAGCATAATGCCCTTGAGGTCCATGCACACTGTCAAGAATGGCAGGACTCCCTGTAACTAGGTGACATGCATTTTCTGAAATCTCATAATCATGCTGCCATGTTGCTGTTATTACTCTCACTTTAACCACGAGGAAACATTGCTCAGAGGAGGTGAAAAAAAAAATGCCCTGGCCACTCACCTGGTAAATGGCAGAATCAGAATTCAAGTCCTGGACCATTTAAAATGCCCTGTTCTTAGGTCCATACGAATGGAATTGATGCGGAAAATGTCCTCCACGTAGTAGACCCACTGCTTGAGTTAGAGGTGAGGTGGGTTCAGGAACCAGAGGTGACACCGTCATTTGGCCCCTTTGGTTCACATCCAGGGTCTCTCTCTCTAGCGGGTAGGCTCTCTTATCTTGATAAAACCCCTTTTTCTCCTCTTCGCTTTCACTGTTGTCCATTCTAATTTTAGAAATATGGTTCCTGGAGTAGAGACGCTGAGGGACCAGATTCTGCAGTTCTTTCCTCTCTCTGTGTTGTACACCGCTGATTCCGGGTACAGCTCCACGTCTGATGCTGGCATTATTGGTCATAGGATGTGAGTCAAGGAAGGAGGAACGAGGGATCCCTGGGTGGCTCAGCAGTTTGGCACCACCTTCGGCCCAGGGCGTGATCCTGGAGACCCCGGGATCGAGTCCCACATTGGGCTTCCTGCATGGAGCCTGCTTCTTCTCCCTCTGCCTGTGTCTCTGCCTCTCTCTGTGTGTGTCTCTCATGAATAAATAAAATTTTTAAAGGAAGGAGGAATGTTCTATATTGATGTCTTAGACTGTCAGAACATAAAATTATTACCTGTGGCCCCTATTACTCCACACTAGCCTTCACCACACCTTCAGCTTTTTTGTTTTTTCAGTGTTGCCTCTTGCTGCAACTCTAGTCTTTGAAAAGTCAATGCATAAAAGACATGAGATTTTTCATAGGATCCTCTGTAGAGTTGTACATTCAAAATGTAGGTCTTCCAGTGACGAAAACACATATGCCACACTTAAACTCTATTTCCTTCAAGGAATAAAAGACCTTAAGGGAAATGAGAGACCATGCTAACATTTAAAAAAAAAAAATCCCGGATCTACATTTTGGTGATCAGAAACTGTCCTGAATAATGGAAAGCTCTATTCAGGAAAATCCTATTTCTAGCAGTAAAACCAAGTCTGATTAAGATTACGTCTTCTTTTAAAGGGCACCATCATATACTGCTGGTTGCCGTTTATAATGGTGCAGCCCATTTGGACAGTAGTTTGGAATAGAATTTAAAAAGGTCTTGATAACTCATGGCTTACTCATGCTACCTCTGGGAATCTGTCCCAAGGAAAGAAGTCTAAATAGAAAGAGGCTTTTCGTATAAAGATTTTTCAAAGTAGAATTTTAATCATCGTGAAAAAAATTATAAACCTACATAGCAAAAAAGGTGAATGAGTGGAATAATTTTTAAGTGGTATATTTAAAAAGCATATCACAAGAAGAAATAGTATATTACTTTAAAAACTGGATAAAAAATGAAATATGATTATAGCTGTGGGAGTAAAATCTATTATATTTAAAGAAATTTTGAGAAATAAATGGAAGCACCATCCCCCTATCAAGGATCATGTGTATTTCAGTGATGGAACTACAGGCAACTCTTTTTTTCTTTCTTTTATTTTTTTTTAAAGAATTTATTTATTCACGAGAGACACAGAGAGAGACAGAGACATAGGCAGAGGGAGAAGCATCCTCCCTGTAGGGAGCCTGATGTGGGATTCAACCCCACGACCCTGGGATCACAACCTGAGCCAAAGGCAGAGGCTCAACTACTGAGCTACCCAAGTGCCCCTTTTTCTTTTTTTAAAGTCCCTATTTCCATTTGAGGAAGAGGACCTTTTATGTCATGAAAGGTCATAGTGGATACCAAGAACTGGATTTCATATACTTATGTCCATTTTATGTCTACTGTGCCCTCATCCAAAATGTGGTAGCCTTTCTCAGTCTGCATATTGTGGATAGATCTGAGTGACTTCATGGCTCTTAGCTCACTCCTCAACCCAGACAACAATCTTGTAGAACAGATTAACTGTGGAAAATTTGGAAATAAAGATTGGCTCTTGGGCAGCCTGGGTGGTTCAGCAGTTTAGTGCCACCTTCGGCCCAGGGCGTGATCCTGGAGTCCCTGGGATCGAGTCCCACGTCAGGCTCCCTGCATGGAGCCTGCTTCTCCCTCTGCCTATGTCTCTGCCCCCCCTCCCTCTCTCTCTCTCTCTCTCTCTCTCTCTCTTTCTCATAAATAAAATCTTTAAAAAAAAAAAAAAAAGATGGGCTCTTATTCCAAATCGCTGTTTTTCCTCCCTGACAAGCCAGGTCAAAGAAGTGCTCCGTTAGTAGGGAGAAACTGCTCAGAAAAGGTCCACATACCCACAATGTGAAGAAACACAATGCCGGTTAAGATAATACCTCTTTTTATCATGTCTCTGCTTACCTGTTTTTTCACCTTGTAGATAAATAGGAATTGCCTAGATAGAGGACAAATACTTAACCTGTAAATTTGCAAAGCATCAAATAATGAAGGATGGCTCAACTCATAACGGCATGTTCAATGGCTGACCAAACTCAAGGATGAAAAATAATAGAATTAAAGATCATTGATGGGGCTCCAGCATGGCTCATTTGGTTAAGCTTCTAACTCTTGGTTTCAGCTCAGGTCGTGATCTCAGAGTCATGAGATTGAGCCCTGTGTGAGGCTCCATGCTCAGTGTGGCGTCTGCTTGAAACTCTCTCTCCCTCTCGCTGTGCCCTCCCCCCTGTGCACACACTCTCTCTAAAATAAATAAATCAGTCTTTAAAAAGAATTGAAGGCCATTGATTTCATAATGCCCTGCAGCCATGAATTAGATATATTCTCTGGCTTTTTTCACTCCAAACACTGTACTTCCTAGAATTATGTTATTAATTATTCATTAAAGTAGCTGTTTGGGGGTGGTGGTGGTGGTTACTAAGTCTTTTTCACTGAGACTGAAGAAAAACAGGGCATTTTATGCCTCTGTGTGTGTGTCCTGATTTCTAGTTGTTACAAGCTGTTATGTCTTAAACCCAAGTTCCCATACTTCATCTTCACCTTCATTATTTGTAGTGCTTTCAAAAAAAACAGTGGCCTTTTCCTAGTTCACAAATGGGTGGCATTTGGCTCAGAGTGTGAAGATTTCACATGTCATGAATAATAATAAGCTGTTTTGTGATAAAGAACACAGGTGGAAGAACAAAAATGATGACAATAGATACTCGGCTCCTGTTGGTATCGTGGAGAGGAAAGGGAGGAACTCTGTTGTTTCTTATTTTTTAACTTGTTTTTCCCTTTCTTTTCCCTCTTCAGACAAAGCCCGTTGCATTTGCTGTTCGGACAAATGTTAGTTATAGTGCAGCCCATGAAGATGACGTCCCAGTGCCAGGCATGGCCATCTCCTTCGAAGCAAAAGATTTTCTGCATGTTAAGGAAGTAAGGAAAAGCATTTGAATTTTTACCTGCATGGGTTTTCACCTTGAAACATCATTTCTTCTCTCTCATTGCCATGAAATAGCCTTGCGTATAGCTGCACTTGTATAACACGCACGAATGCAGTGCCTCTCAACCTTTTCTAATATAAATATAACCCTTTTAAAGAAGAAAGAAGTCACAGGCCTCTTGCAGTAACTTCAGGTCTCCCCTGGGCTCTGTGACCCAGAAATTGGGAATTACTGGAGTAGATGATCCTTTTTTGTGCGTAACCTGTACTTTTTATTTGTATTTTTAACCTTGGTTCTGTGTTGTTTTCCCACTTCTCACATTTAACCATCTGGGAAAGGTTAATAATAATACCTAGAATTCATGATCTCTCCTCTCTGCTGACAATGCCTGAACGCAGACCACCCAAATGCCCTGGGCCTCGTTCAGTGGTAAATGTCTGCAGTGGAAGGAGAATGGTAGGAATTGGGGCCACTGAGTCAGGAAGCAGATAGCAGGACACTTCCTTTCTCTCAATGCCAGAAGTCTCCACCTGTCAGTTAACGATGACTCTTATCCATACCTTGGAAAAATTCACCCTTAATTAAGGTTTATTTTGAGTCAACATTTATCAAATCTCTGCTGTGCAGAACATCATATGAAAAGAACGGAAATTCCCCCTGAATAACGTTCTCAGTGTGTGAGTATGAGAATTCCTTGGACCTGCAGGAATGACAAGTGGACTGACTTGCATCTGGGGGATGATATGTCATGAGGCACACATATAAATTTCATGCTTACTGTGTGATATGGGCTGTAGGTGAAGGAGGTGATGACTGCCAATTAAAAGAGCCTGACTAGACACAAATAATAAAAATGTATTTAAAAAAATAAATCCACACTCTAAAACTCCATTTATTAAAGAGGTAGATAGGTATACTTTTAGCCTCAACTCAAACATGTTTTTATACTTGTAAGAAAAAAAAAAGAGCCTAGAGAATTTAGAGCCTACCATTTTGTTAACTTTTAGAAAGAGATATGAAATATTGGCTGGGAAGAAAAGATAGAAGTTGTCAGAAATGATGGCATGCCTGGAATCTGACTTTACAATACAAAGTTGGGTTAACCCAAGGTCCCCTCCTGATGGCTGATACTTAAGGAGAGATCTTTTTTCTACCATGGAAGGAAAAGAAAAATAAAATGGATAGTCTTCTTTGAAATGCTCAAGAACAGACTGAAAATATACTAGTCAATTGGGAGAAGTAAAACTAAATCGTAAAGATTTAGGAGAAATATTCTACCTGCAAGAGAGAAATTATCAGCATCACATGAGTGGAGAAATCCTGTGAACAGCGTACCATGGTAATTATAAACTTGTTCATACAAAGGGACATTTCGCTCTAGCACAAGATATTTCAGGTAGATTTCAGTATTTCTGTCTCTTAATATTTTTTATAAATTTATTTTTTATTGGTGTTCAATTTGTCAACATATAGAATAACACCCAGTGCTCATCCCATCAAGTGCCCAACTCAGTGCCTGTCACCCAGTCACCCCCCACGCCCCGCCCACCTCCCCTTCCACCACCCCTAGTTTGTTTCCCAGAGTTAGGAGTCTTTCATGTTCTGTCTCCCTTTCTGATATTTCCCACACATTTTTTCTCCTTTCCCCTTTATTCCCTTTCACTATTTTTTATATTCCCCAAACGAATAAGACCATATAATGTTTGTCGTCCTCCGATGGACTTATTTCACTCAGCATAATACCCTCCAGTTCCATCCACGTCGAAGCAAATGGTGGGTACTGTCTCTTAATATTTTTTAAGTAATCTGATTATAGAAGAGGACTCTGTAACACTCCCTGGTTCCTAATGGTCTCTTGATAGGAAGGGCTGTGCATCTTTGAACAAGGGGAGTTGATCCTACAGAAGCTGCATTGGAAATCAGGCTACTCTCAAAGCAAGTAGCAGGAAACAGAAAGAAAATGGATTGCCGGTGGATTGCTGACCCCGTTGACAGTACTTCACTCTTACATGGTCAACCACGAAACCCTTAGAGTTTCTCCAGTCGTGATGTTGAGGCATAGTTAACTGTAACTGCTATAATATTTCTTTCCATTGAAAATAGTTAATGTAGAAGAAAAACAATCTGAAGACATGACCTTCTGTGCACTGACCACAAACAAATTTGATTTTGTGTTTAGAAATTTAACAATGACTGGTGGATAGGGCGATTGGTGAAAGAAGGCTGTGAAATCGGATTCATTCCAAGCCCAGTGAAACTAGAAAATATGAGGCTACAGCATGAACAGAGAGCCAAGCAAGGGAAATTCTACTCCAGGTAGGAGAATATTGAGTATTTGTATCAAAGTCCAGATTATACCATCATTCATGTCTTCTTGTTTTCTGTGTTCCACCGTCTTTATTATATGTTGAAAAGCAGACTGGCGATACAATTTAGTGATGGCATCACAAATCGTGCATTTTAAAAACTTCATCCCAGCATTTCATTTTCATCTTATTTGGGAGAACATCATATTAACTGTTCTCATTAATAATAAAGTATTAAATTGGGGCAACAATGCAGAGGAAATTCTCAGGTCCTAATCTCTTACTGAAAACATTCTTGCACTGAGCAACCTTGGTGACTAATCCCAGTGTCGGTGGCTGCCTGACGAGGCAGGGAGGCATTTTAGAAATGATGGTCTTAGACATCACCAGGCAAAAAGTAAGTCTCATGATCCGTTAGTTTTGTCTTCACTTGGGAAACTCAATGTTCAGTTCTACCCACTGCTAAGCCCTTAAAGGGAAACCCAGGATGAAACCAGTTAAAACTGCCCTCACAGATAGCAATTAAATGAATTATGCAATAATCTGGGGCTGGATAAGCCATCCTAGGATTCTTAAAGTTGTGGGCCCCCCTCATAAGAGAATCACTGGAAGAGCTACTCCGACCTGGAGTGAATCTGAAATTGAACGGGCCAGTCCCAGAACATGGCCTGCTTTGCCCTGTGGGGAGGGATGTGATTTGGGCAAATCTTTTCGCTAATGTGAATAGCCGCGCTTCTATTTTTTCTAGCTTAGATTTTATTTGTTTCTATAATGCTGCAAAATCCTTTGTCAATGGTAAAATTTTAGCATTAGAATTTTTGTGTGTGTCAAGCACCTGCAAACAAGTAAAACAGACGATCCTTTTTGGTTTGGAACACCCGTCTTCTTTAGTATTTTGTAACTGTCAGGCTCTCTTAGTTCAGATGAATTCTTCCCTTTTTGGTGACCTCTATCCATATTTGGCTTTCGTTAATCCCTGGCTGATGGGCGGCTCTCAGATTGTGAGATGCGTTCAGTCATATAGAAGTAGATGCAAGGAGACCAACAAAGCATGCACATCTTACTTGTAAGATGTTGAAGATCTGATTCTATTCATACAATTTCCAGTGTTCTACTGGCTTTAGTGTGTATTCTTCTATTCTCTGGATCGATACTGGTATCTTAATATTAGCTAACAAAATTTTATAATGTGGAGAATTTTTATAGGGTATAGATATTGCTGGTTTCAGTTTGGTGATATATATAGTTCATTGAGGTTTGAGGTTATCTCAGGGGGCATTTGTATTGACTTCATTTGTTGGGGATAATTCAGCATTTTCAAGAGTTTTTGTGGTCACATAAGTTTAGGACAGTACTAGGTAATAGGAAATCAGCTACCTTAAGGATTTTTCTGAGCCTTTAATATGTTAATGTATCCTATGAATCTAGGTTAGTGGGATGGGGATATTTTTCATGTATATATGAAAATTATCTTAAATTTTTCTTGGTTCATGTCTTTTGCAATAGTGTTTTATAGAATGGATTATGGAAAATTTGGGATGGGTTTTTGCAGAGATAAACTTGTACATCTTTCTCTGCTTATTCATGTACAAACCAAGAAAGGAAAACTATTTCTCAAAGAGTAGGAAGGGAGAACTTTTGGCCAAAATTGTTAAGGAAGCCCATGGTCCTCTGCCTCCCAAGTGGGCATCCCTGGTCTGATGTGAGTCATCAGCTCAGCTTTATAAGGATCTGCGGAAACAATAAGTATCAGAGCCTCCACCTCATAGATGAGGCAACAAAAGGTAGGGAACTTGACCAAGTTTGCACTACTACTAGGCAGTAGAACCCTGATGAAAACTCGATAGATGTGACTGTAGCCTGACCTCAGACAGACTACAGCGCTACCCTGTACATCATATAGTGAGGGCCTGGGACAGTAAGGAAAAAAATATTAATATTGCCATTGCTATTATTTACTATATTAGATAGATTGTTCTGCTATTTCATTTTTTTCCCTTAAAAGACTAATACTTTGGGGAGTAGCATCTCATAACTTATTCTAGGGAGCTAGGTTGCCTTTCCTACAACTATATATTCTTCTCTTTTAATTTTCTTGATTTTATTTTGTCCTTTTTACCTAAGCTTTTGCTTCAGTACATGAAGGTATTTTTACTTGTTTTCAGAGATTTTTACATTTGTCTTCTAGCATTCGAAATACAGTTTTGAGTACATAACTAGAATTCAGAGTACATAAGAACTCTGATTTTTTTTAAGTTTTTTTTTTAATTTTTATTTATTTATGATAGTCACACACACACACAGAGAGAGAGAGAGAGAGGCAGAGACATAGGCAGAGGGAGAAGCAGGCTCCATGCACCGGGAGCCCGACGTGGGATTCGATCCCGGGTCTCCAGGATCGCACACTCGGCCAAAGGCAGTCGCTAAACCGCTGTGCCAGCCAGGGATCCCAAGAACTCTGATTTTTAAATTATAAAAATTGACAGAAATCAAAGGCAATAATTTGGGGCAGAGCTCAGGAATGTGGCATTTGTCTAGAATTAAAAGTTAAGGGCAAATTTGCATTTTGAACATTTTGACTATTTGCGGTGTTCCTTGAAATTTTTACACAATTCAAATAATACTTTGACTTTTATTAAAATTCAAAGAGAATGTAAAACAGAGCCATGCTTGAACTGAAGTTAGACTTGGTACTGTGAAAGAAGTAAAAATAAAAACCAAACACACAAAGAACTTCTGGAAGAAAATATGTAGGTCCTGGTAATGGATATTCTTATAAAACAATCAGAAGTTGCTTCTGTAAATACCACTTTTTATTAATTTTACATACTGTCTGGTATCCTTGTTAAATGTACTAGAGTATCTCTTAAGAACTTCAAAAAGATACAGAGGCCTCCTTCTAGCTGCTGTAAGTTTTTGATGTTGGTCTGTTTTACACATTAAAATGCCAGAATAGTAGCAATACAATTCAGCCTGGTTACTGGTGTTTTCGTGGAATTTATTTTTTCATATTGATATTTATGTAACTTAAACATTGCCCTTTGGTGCATAGACACTGTAGCAGATTCAATTGGACCCAGCGTTGGCTCTGATAATAAAAATGTTAGACAGTAAGACTGTCTTGCCAAAATTGCCTATCACTCGCTACTTCTTTCCATTGTCCTCATCTGTGAAGGGGGGACCTTTTAGTCATAGGACATTTAGCATGCCAGGATGCTGGTAAAAGCATAAATGCTCTGGTTCTGATGTTAAGTCTAAAGTTTCTAAAACACTGGCATATTATGTATCAAATTTTAGGATTTACTGGTCCCAATGTACACGCTCTTCAAATTGTACCTCAATGAACAAAGTTGAATCCTCCATGTTGGTCATGCTTGAGACATGTTCCAAATGCTAAATGCTGTCAGAGGGTTAAATCATGTCACACTGTCATGTTCCTTTGTGTATCTTGTAAAGATTAGCAAGTTTAGTATTGCTGTGTTTTTCTTTTATAGGCTGCTCAAAAAGCTTCAGTACTTTCAGTCTTAACACACTAGAAGTAACCAAGCTAAGACAAAGAAGAGAACCAAAAAAAAAAAAAAAAAAAAAAAAGAAGAAGAGAAGAGAACCAAACAAGAAGAAAACCATAAGTCTTGTCATTAACCTTAAGGTTCTCTGCATTATTTCAGAGGGTCTCTGACCTAAGAAGCAAAGGAAATCTCTGCTGCTGTCTCCCTGTGATGCTGGTAGAGAATGTGAGGGCTGCAGAAATTACCCTAGTTCTCTTCCATTCTCCCAGGGCCTTTTAAAATTAAACCTTGAATTTGAAACAGAGACTATTACATAGCTGTTTCAAGTACTCCAGGAATCTCCACTGGGAAATTACTATTTGTCTCCTTGTAGGAAAGGCAAATTTAAAATTCAGTAAAAAACACAATGACTAATCATGTTTATTGAGCAATACAAATGTTTTAATATCTGAAATAAGTGTCAAGTGTAATATAAATTTTTGCTTTACTCCAGTAAATCAGGAGGAAATTCATCATCCAGTTTGGGTGACATAGTACCTAGCTCCAGAAAATCTACACCGCCATCATCCGGTAAGTAGGAAATGAGTGCAGAATGTCACATTCTGCATTTCATGCTTTCCTCAATCTCACTTAGTTGTGTGAATCTACATACACAGGTTCAGTGTGTGAACCCTAGAAGGATCAAAAGCAATCAGAAATAGGAATGCCTACGTGGAGTAAGAAACAACACGGGGAGTTTTTGTTCAGGGCTTTGAAAAAAGGAAGTACGTCTGTGTGTTCCCTGTAAGTTGTTTAGATGACCAAAGTGATGAGTGTATTTAACTTTTTATGCCTACACACCTCCCACTCTGGTGCCCAGCACAGCGTCAAGCCTCAAAGTTAAATAAAGACAGAAGAAAGATAAAAGTTTTTGAAAGGTAGGAAAAGGAGAATAAAGTGATGATGGAGTGACTGGCCTAACCTGAGTTTTACCCCAAAGACTCTGTGGAGGGTGTCAGAGATGAGTAGAAGTATTGAAAAAAGAGAATCCCTTGTAGGAAGAGGGACTCCTGTTTTCTTTCCAAGGCAGTGGAGAAGGGCACTATGGTAAGCAAAATTTGAATTTCAGATAAAGAATGAATAATTTTTTTTCATATAAGTACTGTATGAGAAATATTTACAGTAGGAAAAAACATCTGAAACTCAAACTTGGCTATATTTTTCTTTGTTAAATCTGGCAACTCTACCAATCTGTGTAGAACTTGGAGTTGTATATAAATTGGAGATTAATTGATAGAATTGCAGAAAGCCCATGATCACCAGAATCTTAGTTTGCCAAGAGAAGCGGTTGAGTCAGAATAAGATTGCAAGGACTCCCCATCAGAGTACTGGAGCAAAATGATTCTTTGTGTGATTTTGAGAAAGCTGGAATTGGGTAGAGTGTGTGTCTGTGGACAAGTTAGGGGAGTAGTTGCACCCTAACTGTCTTAAAAACAGGATTCTCCTATTACTCTTGATGATGCCTCATTCCTGAATGTTGGCAGCTTTTAGAGACCAATTGAAGGCTTCTTAATAAAAATGATAGAACTTTTTAAGTGCAAGATCTGAGCACAATAAGAAATAAATCATCTTAGGATGCATATTGATTCCAAAAACCATGTATGTACAGCTTGCAGTAATTCTGAGTTGCCCCAAATTAAGTAAAATATGTTTTACTTAAAACATGTTTGAAATGGAGATGGAAGCCCTTTTAGGGCTTATGTCTTATGTGAGGCGTGTGTCTTCCCTTCACCAGTGGGAGGGGAGCTGTTTAGTGAATGCACAGGCTTATCTCCACTCCTTCTCAAACATGTGAAGTTACAGAGATTATGATCTAAAGCTGTACCCTTTGTATGTATCTTAAAAACTGCCTCAGAAACTCGAGAGGACTGTCACCAGGTTCCTGAAATGGGGAAATGTTGCATCATATAGTGAGAGAACCGCGGCTCCATCCGCAGATGTCAGTGCCACTCCTGTAGACCAGGAAAATTCTTCCATTTCTTTAAACCATACTGTAGCCGTCTCATGGTTTTGGTAATATCAGGAGAGCAGGCCACATGCATTCTGAAGAGTAAGTTAGTGTGTTTGTAAAAATAATATTTCATTTTTGTAGACAGATGTTTGTCACTACTAAAACTAAAGTTTAATTTACTACAATAAAGTAAGGATGATTTAAAACTTGATGCAAAGTGTTATATAGATACAGGACTTTGGAATAACTTTTCTGATACCAAGAACAGAAAACACTTGTCACTTAATGACTGGAGACATTTGCCAGCTACGAAATTTGCAGTAGGCACATTGGGAACCTGCTATAATTTTCATATTAATACCTCAACTTCTCTAAAGGAAAAATCTAGAAAATTTCTACAGAGAAGTTTCCCCCACCCCACCTTCCAGGGTAAACTGCCTAACCAATCCAGTGTGGATTGGCCTAGAGATGTAACTTTCACCTGTATCCCCCAGAGGCCCCATCTACATTCACCTCACCCATTGCTGGGCCGAAGAATATAAGTGTTTGCCTAAAGCAAATATACTTGGAAGTTCTCAAGGATTTGGAAAAGGAGAAATTTCCACCTCGCATCTGGGTAATGGGGTAGTAGCCGGTTACACAACACATTCCCCGTACCTACATGTGCGTACCCACACAGGTCACCCCAGCATGCTACTCAACTGGACCTAAGTGTCTAAGATGAAGTTACAATTTAGGTCTCAAAAAATGTTTCCAAGGCTCTCCACCAAAAAAATAAAATAAAAAATAAAGGAAAGAAAGTAAAGAAACATCATTCTGTTGAGGACTAAGAAAATAAACTATTTTAATATTTATGAAAGTAGTTTTTCCCAAGTAAATACTAATATTTGCCAAGGTCTGCAGATACAAGTATGAAACAAAAAAGGGGTAACCATCTGAGTCTAATAAAGTATATGGAACTATGAAAAAGAGTTGAACATGCTTCTTAACTGTCTTAGTAAATTTCTTTAATGTGTTTTGAAAGTGGCCAAATGTTTTAGAATTCCCTGTGTTTGGGAATAAGCCCAGATGCTTTTAAATTTAAGTTAACCAAAAGTCAGAACTAATAAATTAGAAAGTTCTCAGTTTGGGATTTTGAGCCCTTGCATCCAAATATAGGTAAATTTCAAACCTGACTTGGGCTCTCAGGCTACGTGTGGGTTGCCAAACATCTGGGCAATATTACAGCTAAACTTTGTATGCATTTCCACTTTTACTTAGAAAAAATATTTCAAAAATCCACCCACTGGTCACAGCAGACCAAACTGAATGGCCAGATCATAAAATCTCATGCATGAACTTTGCCAGCGTCCTGTCAACTAACACGCCTGCAGGAATCCTGTTTCGGAGAGGCTTTGAGGAAGTTACCATCCCTTGAAGGCCTTCATAAGCCCAAGAAAAGAGGAGAAAGGTTAAAAGTAGATGGGAATTTACCACCAGAAGAGAAACCGATCTGACTTGGTTAAGGTAGATCTAGAGATAGTGAGAAAACTGACCTGGATCCTCTCCATAGTATCCAGGCAGACACTAACAGCATTCTTCCTAAGTTAGGATTTAGGGAAGAGCATTACAGGGTTATGTAAAAGTCAGCCTCAACTTACAGTGTTTCTGTCGCACACCACGTACTCAGCCTTGCAGTGCATCAATATGTGTGGGCGGCATAAGGAGAAAGACTTATTTACTAGGTAAGTCTCACTAAATACCTGGAATTAACTCGGTCTGTTACTCCTTTCACTGGAGAGGGAGTCCTCCCTGCTTGCTCTGCAAGCGGCCCTTAATACGTGCAATGTGGTGCAAACGGTGCTGGGGATTCCCACTCCATCACGCATCGTCGACCTCATCAGATGAACCAAAGGAACAATTGAACGAGAGATCCTAGTTTTCAAAAAGGCTGAGTCACCGAATATCCGTAATAATTTCCAAACTGGAAAAAAAAATGTGATGGCTGTCAGGTGATCTGCCACGATTGGAAGAGGTTAGCAGCGGCTGCCTTTGTGTGAACCCCCATGTTCCCCCGTGGGTGGCAGGAATGCTAGCTGCTTAGTGACACCAAACCGTTCCTTCCAGATGCTCCTTATCTGAATGTGCTGTGGGTTTTGTTAGATTGAGTAGACTCTCTTTTCCAGGACTCATCTAAACCATAGAGTAATTCTCTCCGGAGCTCACCTCTGGTCCCTCCCTGAATCCCGAAAGTGAGGACCCCCACCTGGAAAGCCCGGGGAGCTGAGGAAGGGAGGGTGCCTGCATTGAGAGCGCCCCCCCAACAGGCAGCAGGGTGCAGGCATGGGCCAGGGGCGCACAGACCCAGAGCCTCGCCTCTGAGTCTTGGCTCTGCCAAGTCCCTTAAACTCTTTAAGAGTCTTATCATTTCAGTCTTTTAAAAATAAGAGGGTTGAAAGTGATCCTCAAAATACTTTCCAGTTCCGATTCTGCAGCTGATGAAATTCTGTAGTCATTGCACGTGGAAGCATTTTATCAACTTCGGAATGAGATGCTGGATCTTTTTGTTGTTGTTGTTTTTTCATTTAACACTGAATCTTTCAGTGCTCCAGTTTTCCAGACAAAAGATTTTAAAAGTGAAAGCATGTTGAACCACAGGCCTAAATCTCTCATTCTCCAGACGAGGGGACCCGTGCCATGCTCTCTGGCCTCTCTGTGTCCTTCCACTCTGTCTCTCATGTTAAATGCATTTCTAGGAGTGCTTTATAGAAATCGTCAGAAGTCTCTTATCAGGTCATTTTATAAGACTCATTTCATTTGGAGATCATGAGGTCCGGTGCTCTATAATTAGTTTTCAGTCAGGCCTGCCAGACAGGGTACATACCATCTTGAAATCATTTTATTATTTTTTTAATATTTTATTTATTTAAGAGAGAGAAAGCACACAGAGGGAGAGGGGGAAGCAGACTCCCCGCTGAGCAGGAACCTGATGCAAGGCTCCCTTGATCCCAGGACCCTGGGATCATGACCTGAGCTGAAGGCAGATGCTTAAGCAACTGAGCCACCCAGGTGCCCCTTGGAATCGTTTTAATCTGGCCCACCCTGGAAGCCTCCCTGAATCCTTTGTCTTTGTAGGACTTCTTTAGGTTGCCTGAATTTAAGATCTTTATTTTTTTTTTTAAGATTTTTAAAATGTATTCATTCACGAGACACACAGAGAAAGAGGCAAAGACGCAGGCAGAGGGAGATGCAGGCTCAATGCAGGAAGCCTGATGCAGGACTCGATACTAGGACTCCGGGATCACGCCCTGAGCTGAAGGCAGATGCTCAACTGCTGAGCCACCCAGGCGTCCCTGAATTTAAGATTTTTCTATTCTCGCTTTTCCTCAAATGCCTGTTGTGTTTTTCATGATGCTTTTCACATTGCCCTTATTTTCACACAAAAACAAGCAAAATAAGAAATCTGAGGCATGTTGTTATAAGGTTTCCAATGTAGTTGCTTATTATTGAAAAGGTGACTGATGATCCCATAAGCGCGAAGCTGGATGTTCTGAACCATACTTATCTACAGGTGACGTGGAAAAATACCAGTACTGTATTTGAAACTACACATTAAAAATGTTTCTCTAAAATATTACCCAGGAGGTCTAGCAGGCAGCTCATTTGTGCAAGCAAGCAGTTACCCTGAGGGGAAATCTTTGGGTTTTGTTAGGTTTGATGACATTGCGTTCTTAACGTGTCTTACTTTACATTTTACTTTGTTGATGATGCTCAGCACTCATGATAGATCTTTTACTATGGTTAGTTTTGTTTGCTTTCGTTTTATTTTATTTTTTTTTATAACCTGTTTTTCCTCTCCTGTCTACCTGATGATTTTTGAATTGTTTGTCTGTATATAGCTATAGACATAGATGCTACTGGCTTAGATGCAGAAGAAAATGATATTCCAGCAAACCACCGCTCCCCTAAACCCAGTGCAAACAGTGTAACGTCACCCCACTCCAAAGAGAAAAGAATACCCTTCTTTAAGAAGGTAACAATAACTTCCAAACTCCCATCTGTCCACCTGCTCACCTGCACTGCGTCACATTTCTGGTCCTGTTGACTGTCTGCGTCCTTTGATAAGCCAATAACGTGCATGCTGTGTTATTCTTTGTTTCTTTTCCATGCTGCTGTAGCTAAGCAGAAGCAGAAATCGGTAAGTTTACATTGACATAAGCTGTGTTTATCCTGCCACTGGCATCATTAGCATTAAATCCCACAGTTTCATTTAAATGCAGTCATTCCTATCCTAAGAAGAGAACCTCTCAAACAGCTAATTGAGTCCATGCCTTTCAAACCGACTAAATTCAGTGAGTGACCTTGTTAAAGCAAGATTACAGTACTTATCCTTTTTGATGGAATAAATATCTACCACCAAGGGAATCTGTTCCAACATTCTGAGATGTCAAACGCTGACAGCTCCAAATAATGCACCTCTACTGTGCATGCTTATTCTGTCTGTCTTTGTCTCTTTCTTTTTTTTTCCAGAAATTTAACTTATATCAAGCATATTAAAACCATTATGAGATTCTGATTTATGCTATCCAGATACATAGCTTGTACTAAAAGAAATTATTCAATTTTTAATTTAGTCAGTATTTAAACTTCTAATCCACTAGGTGCAAAATCTGCCGATGAGCAAGACCATTGGAAAACTGCAGGCTTGTTTTGGCGGTTTACTGTGAGTTTCTCCTCTTGTCCTCTATAAGTACTCTCCCCCTGTTCTTGCCTTCTCCATCAGTCAGGTTGCAGGACCTCACCTGTCAGATAACGGGGCAGTGGCCACGCGTAGAGCCTTTGCCACTGGCCAGGCAAGATGCTACACGGTGATGCTCCTTGTCCCCTGACTGCAAACCAGAGTATTCCAGAGCTCCCTTTACTCCAGACAAGATCTGTTTCTTTTCACACGTTTTGTAGCTTGAAAGCATTATTTTTTAAGGACATCACCTCTTCCCCCCCCCGCCCCAACACACACACACACACACACACACACACACACACTTTCCATTCCTTCCTTTCTTTTGACACACCACTTTGCACAGCCAACTGTGCTGTCTTCTGGAATCCTACTTCCTACTATTGAGCCATGTGTCCTGCACAAACCATGCGGATATCTCATGACGTGTGTGGAGGAAAGCTGCCTCTGTCCCAAACTCCGTGTCCTTGGTTCTCTTCCCCTGCACACAAGCATTTTGCCACATGGAGGAACTCTGAAATTATCCATGAGATGTCAGAGACTGCACTATAAAGTTTGTTGTTTTGTTTTGTTTTTAAGTAAATGAGGATTACTTTTATAATGGAAGACCTCGGCACTCCAGGCAAAAATGAAAACCTGGATTTTTTTGTGTGTGTGTTAAGACAGACAGCCCCTGCTTGATGCAAACCCGCACCAGTGGGCCCTTCTCTCTGGTCCTACCTTCTCGGCGCAGCTAAATCTTGCAGCCAAGTGACAGACAGTCTTCCTAGTGCGGATGCCTAGAAAATCAGCATCCCTCAGACACTCTGAATTTTATAGAGCAGTGACATGAACTGAAACCATGTTAGTCGAGATATATTTTCAAAGTTTGCTTAGTCTTAAATTCTCAACCTTGAAAAATGTTGATTGTGATTTTTCAGCTAAAGAATTGGAACAAAATAAGGCTAGCAGGAAAGAGTAGGTAAAAATGATGGTGTCGGTATCCATAGGGCATAAAGTACCAATATTCCATCAAATAAGGTAATTTCTGTAGCTACCCTATTGAATAAGAAGCTGATTGATGACCAGCATGGGTAATGCTTCGCTAGTTGGCAGCCAGAGATCGAAGGAACCAAAGACCTCCAAAATACTGGGCCACTTAATACTTACAGACTCAAAATAAAATTTCTTGGTAGCTGTGCAATTCATATTCCCAATTCCAACAACAGTATTCTTATACTGAATAGCTATAAGGACTTGGCTTCTAAACATTCTCAGTATGATCCCAGACGGAATCACTGTCATGACAAATATGCTTATGATGCCTTCGGCACTGGTATTCATTCTTCTGTTATTGATTATGTGGTGAACTTCGATGTAGAGCTCAAAACCAACAAGACAACCTGAGATTCACGGATGAGGCTGTTTTCCATGTTTTAGGCTGCTTTTAGACTGGTGCTTGTGGCCTCTGTGCTGTTACTGTATTATGTTTGTCTTGTTTTGTTTTGTTTTTTTTTTCCCTGTTTGAAAATGTATTTTACCTTTCTTGTGTCTATTAAAATTAAGTTTGAACACTAGGTAAAATCTGAAGGACTAAAATTTGACAGCACGGTCACAGCATTATTTTCACCCCCCATAAATATATTTGTCTGCTACTCTAGACGAAATCTCAACATGGAAACTATTGAAGCTGAAATGCTTTTTAACTCCTCGCCCCGAAGCAAGTTAAATTTGATCAAAGTCATAAAGTTTGTAATGGACAATTTTTTAAAAAGATTTATTTATTGATTTGAGAGAGTGAGAGAGAGCGAGCGAGCACAAGCAGCAGGGAGGGGCAGAGGGAGAGAGAGAGAATCTCAAGCTGATTCAGCGCTGAGCACAGACCCCCAGGCAGGGCTCTCAGTCTCCTCACCCTGAGATCATGACCTGAGTCAAAACCAAGAATCAGAAGCTCAGCTGACTGAGCCGCCCAGGTGCCCTATAATGGGCTATTTTAAGCAACAGTAGAATGTTCTTGGCCAACAGGCTAATGCAGAAGTTCACATTCGCACGTTAGTTTTGCAATCTCTTAAAATAGTTAAAAAAAATTTTTTGTCTCTGTGATTCTAAAAATATATCTTTTTTAGACACTCCTTAATGCCTAAAGATTCACATGACACTGATTTGTTTACCTCCGTGTTTAAGGCCTCTCTTCTGCAATAAAAAAAGTCATTTTGAGTCCCTGTAGCATTTTCTGCTTTGGAAATAGCTGGTTTTGATGTAATCAAGCAGATTAGCTGTTGTTACCTGATTTTTTTGGGAAAAAAAAAACTTATTTTGACCATTTTATGTGAAGCAGCTAAGCTGAAAATTTTGCGAAATTTTAGAAATTGCTGCAAAATTTAGCTCCTCCCTCTGCTCTTCCAAAAAGGAGAGGAATTATCCTGGAAAGGCATGAATTAGTTATATAACAGAGACATTACCTAAACCACTCTAGGGAAGCATATTAGATGTGCAAGTTGATAGCAAACCTTGTGAGGCCCCTGTAGCGTGCTTGAATATGCTATCACACATTAACCACCTTCCTTCCAAGACACATAAACCTTATATTTCAAGTTTCCACGTTTCAAGGTCTAGAGACCAGAAATTCAAAAACATGAATCACTAACCTGTGCTAGTGACCTTGATTACTGCTTGCTGAAACAAGCATGCCTGTTAGCCTTAAACTCTCACAGTAATGCAGGGATTTTCAAGTATTTGGTAATGAACTTTATAATGTTCAAAATTAGGCTTTATCCAGGTAAGACAAACCTCTAAGATGCAAAGCTAGCTAAGACCTTTCTTTTCTCCGTACTTAACCACGATAGGCCTGATCGTTCAAGTCTTCAGAAAACTCTCAAATGCATTCGAAAGCCGTGTTAACTTCCAGTAAAGCCTAAAGCATCTATTCTGCATGAGGCATGTTTCTGTTCTTTCACCTAGTTTTTGTTCAAAAGCAGCACTTCCTGCTTTAGGAACTAATATGTCAGTAGTATTTCTTGAGGAGAGCAAGAAAACTGTAAACTTTTCGGTAACTTGAGAACTTTAGGAAAATAAGTCCACCAATCTTTGTTTGAGTTTATTGAAGAAAGAGGCAAGTAATAAAAAAATGTATATAAAAATAAAAAAAAAAAAAAAGGAACGGTCTGGAAAGCCGGTGCCTCCTATTACAGAGTTCAGAAAGAATAATTTATACTTAAAATATTTAAGTTCCCCTGCCTGTCAACCATCTGAAGTCCTCCCCTCTCTTTCTGCAGACAGAGCACACTCCTCCTTATGATGTGGTACCTTCCATGCGGCCAGTGGTCTTGGTGGGCCCTTCTCTGAAGGGGTACGAGGTAAGTGGCTGCCCTCTGGAGCCCCCTATACTTGACCTTCGCTTGCTGAACTGCTCTGTGACCCCCACCTCCCTCTTGAATTTAGAGCTTAAAGAACTTCTAGCAGGGAAGCATGTTGTTTTCCAGGTTGTGGTATATATCTCTTCCTGTTGTGTTCTGTTTTTATAGCTGTTGCTTTGGAGGTTTTGCTAGCTTCTGCTTACTCAGTCTGGGGAAATGGTATCAAATGGAGAGTGCCTGAAAACACTTGCAATGTCAGTGTATCGTCACTAAAACATCAGGATAAATTTGGGGAACTTGGCCTTTTTAATTGTCATTGTATCAGAACTCTGCAGCAGAAAAATGTGAAAAAAAAAAATCTCACACGTGCAGTGCTGTCCAAATGGGAAGCCCAGGTTTTTAAACAATCTTAGGAATATAATTGTTGTAATTAGTACTATTTTCATTTTATCTTAATGTATTGCTTGCTCAATTGCAGGTCACAGATATGATGCAGAAAGCGTTGTTTGATTTTTTAAAACACAGATTTGAAGGACGGTGAGTATTTCAGAATACTGTTTGTGAATTTCTTCTTGAAGATGACAAAAGCCGGGTGGGACAGGCAGGTGATCACAGAGAAAACTACTCTCCAAAGTCTGTATGGTGATGGGCAGTAAGTTTCATTCAGCTCAATCTGATTCAGTAAATATTTGTCGTTTTTGCTCAGCACATCCTCAGTCCTAGATAAGCAGCTCTCTGTTCCTGCACCTGCCTCTGTGAGGGGAACCTGGCCACATCCTCACTGACCTGTATCACCCTAAATTTATCATTAGCTGGCTCTTAGTGCTGCGCAGAAATAATATGTAATATCTCTCTTCTATTCACTTTTCTACTCTTCTAGACTTCTGTACCATTTCCTTTCTCACCAAGCCCCAAAACCCCATCTCCTCTCCCTCCCCAATGAACTTGCTTCCACAGACACGTAGAAGCAAACAGAGGAGAACTTTCAAAAGATTGTCCCACCACCACACCGAGCCCAACCTGCGTGTTTGCCTGGATGCTCTGCTTCCACTCTGTTCCGAGCGATGGCCATCCCACCCACTTGGGCACTAGATCCCATTCCCCATCTCAACACAACTGTAAAACCCTTGCCTTTCTCCTCATCACTACTTCTCATTCTAATGGAATCTCCCTCAGCACCTAAAAATGTAGTTATTTCTCCCTTCTCAATGAAGTTTGAACCATATTCCCCTCTGCTATCCCATTTTCTCCTTTTCTTTACAGCAGAACTCCCTCAAAATGTGGTACCTACTTGTTCTCCTTGTACTGATGTGGTGTCTCCAGTTACTCATCCATCACTCAACCAAAACTAGTCCTGTCAGATGAGCAGTGACCTTCCTATTACCAAATCCATGGGCAAATCCTCAGTCCTCCTCTTAATTGACGTGTTGGACTGCTTCATCCTCTTTTAAATACTTTATGTGTGTGATCTCTGCAAGTACGCTTTCCTGGTTTTTCTTTGCTCTCACTTTGTCTCCTTTTTCTCCTTGGCTGGTTCTTCCTCTTCAACTAGACATCTTGGAGCGGCCACAGCTAAGTCCTTTGGTCTTCTCTCTTCAAGTTACACTCATTCCGTGAGTGGTTTCATTTGATGTTAGACTTCCTTTGCAGGTCTGTCCTCTGAACTCCAGATCCATATATCCAACTGCCTATTCAGTATCACTGCCAAGGTGTCTAATAGACTTCTCAGACTTCCCAACTTCTCCCAAAAACCAGCTCCTTTCATAATATCCCACACCTCAAGTACACCTGCTTTGTCTTTTGGACCCAAGACCCATCTGCCCCAGATCCCTGAATCATTCTTTTTTTTTTTAATTTTTAAAAATTTTATTTATTTATGAGAGACAGAGAGGCAGAGACATAGGCAGAGGGAGAAGCAGACTCCCCTTAGGGAACCCAATGTAGGACTCGATCCCAGGACCCTGGAATCATACCCTGAGTCAAAGGCAGATGCTCAACCACTGAGCCACCCAGGTATCCCTTACTGAATCATTCTTAACTGTCTTTTTCTCTTGTATCCTGCATCCAAATGCCGTTGTCTGTATCTTCAAAATCTATCAAGAATCTGATGACTTCTCACACATCTTCTGCGATCCTTTTGGCCTAAGACACAGACACCCCTCCCTGGATTATCATCATAGCTTCCTAACTTGTATCTTTGCTTCTGTTATTGCTTCCTTAACCTCTCTTCTCAATTCAGCAGCCAGAACAACTCTGTTAAACTGTGAGTGGGTCTTATACCTGCTTTGTTCAGATCTATCCAGTAGCTTCTCTTTTCACTGAGTAAAAATCAAAGTCCTCATAGCGGCCTTTAAGACCCTCTCTGGTCTGACCATCCACAATCCCACCCCGCTCCTTACTTTTGACACCATCTCTTACATTCTCATTCTGCTCCTGCTACACTGACTTCCTTGTTCCATGAGTGTTCTAGACATCCAGATACATGCCCACCTCAGGGCCTTTGCACTTACATTTTCCTTTGCTAAGAACACTTTTCCCTCAAATACTCTCCTTGGTATATGTGCACACTACACACACACACACTCTCTCTCTCTTTCTCTCTCTCTCTCTCTCTCCTTTCTCTCTCTCTCTCTCTCTCTCCTTTCCTTGACTTTTCCCATAATTCTTTTGTATATTTTATTTATTAATTTTGTTTGCTGCCATTCTCCTATAGTTAGACTATCAACCCATGAGGGCAGATTTTGGCTTTTTTGTTTGTTTGTTTGTTTGTTTGTTTGTTTGTTGAATCTATTCTGTGAACCATTGTGTTCTCAATGCCTGGGACTGAGCTCAGTGTAAAGGGCACATGGGTGAATGTTGAATGAATGTTTTCCATATATGCCCTGCTAGAGAAATGCAGAGATGCTGAAGCCACCCACTGTCTTTGTAGACCTTAGATGTCAACCATAAACCGAAGCCTTGAGCAGTAAAATATGAAATAGATGAAGGGGCAGCTCAGCATGTGCGTGTCCGAGGTATACAGATTATAAGGGGAGGAGGGATTGATGCAGACAGGAATGTTCAACATCTAGGAAAGGGTTTTTAAATGGTAACTAAGATTTCACTAACTCAAATTAGAAAGAGAAAGGCCTGTCCAGTAGAGGGTGTTAAGTGGGTGAAGGCACCAAGGTGTGCCACAGCATCATGTCGAAGGCAAGCTTCCTAGAGGTCTTCAACTCAAGTCTCTAGACAAGGAGTGACTGGTAACAGAGCCAGGGCCGTATCTGGTGTTCCATGTTCATCGTCTTGGACATAATCTTTGTCCTCTCTTCCCTTCCCCACTCAGTCTGCTTCAACAAATTTTATTGAACATACTCTGTGTGCTGGACATTGTGAGGAACAAAGTCAGATGAGGGCTTGGGCTTCATGGAGCTCACTTCTAGTTAGCTGGAAGGAAGACTTGAGTCAAAGAATCCGTGGTCAGAGTTAAGCCAGTTCCCGAAGCATCAATGACACAATAGGAGTCTAAAATGGAAACTGAAATTTAAGCAAAGAGTAGATTTCAGGGGACCTAGGAACATACAGGGCTAGTTTACATTTCTGTATTTTTTAAAAGATTATATTTATTTATTTGAGAGAGAGAGAGGGAACACACACATAAGCAGGCAGAGAAGTAGAAGGGAAGGAGAGGCGGGGCTCAATCCAGGACCCTGAGATCACAAACCTGAGCGGAAGGTAGACACTTAACTGACTGAGCCACCCAGGCATCCCTGTATTTATGTATTTTTAACAAGACAAATTTGGTGCCTCTCCTCTATGTCCCTGTCCTTCTTACAATAGATAGTATCTGTGGGTTTGTGTTCTTTTAAGTTTCTTAGTATACCCCTTGCTTCCTTGACTGCACCTGTTCTTACGGTCATTTGTAATTGATACCGACTTTCAGCAGGGGAGGCAGGGACAGCAGGACAAGCAAAGGACTGAAAGAGACAGAAAAGGAAGTAGAAACTAAAATCAAGGTCCACCTTATCAAATGTTCCTAATTCAATTTTGTTTTTCATAACTTGAAATATTTTTTAGTTTGTGCCAGGAAAACACCACCTTTGGTGTGGTCCAAGGCAGTCTGGCACTGACCAAGTAAAAAAAAAAAAAAAAAAAAAAGCATCCCCCCCCCAATCAGGCTTATTTACCTTTCAGTTCTCTATGCTTGGCTCTGTCACTTATCCTAATTTGGGATTGTCTTCTTGAGCATGCACACCCAGGAAATTGCTAGACAAAGCACTGTGCTTTCCATGACTGACTTAACCCACTGCCTGTTCCAAAATGCCAAAGATGGAAAAATGCGATGGCATTTCCTTACTCTTTAAACCTAGTAAGTTCTGAATTTGGAAGAGAGATTCCAGCCATAGGGCATAGCTTGAACCGGTGCTCTAACGTATTAGCCCATTCAGATTGATTTCATTTAAGAAACAAATGAGCAAAATATTTGAATGTTGTATCAGTCTGTTCTTTCTGGCCAGAAGTAATTTTCACATGGCTTTATTAATGGAGCAGTCTTGGCTCATTTGACTCATAGAGCTCAAGTTCAACATTCTAGGCTTGGGAATCACCAATTAAAGATCTTTAAAGGAATGAAGAGGGTCTCTAACAAACACTTGGAAAATTCCATGTAAAATTTAATTTTTTAACCTCTGGCAAGACATCTAGAGTACCTGGGTCATTAAATGTCTTTAGTTTTGGTAGCAGTAGGGGGGAGAAAACTTATCAAAAGTATCAGGTACCTCCATGCACTTGTAATTTTAAAATGGAAAAATAAATTACTCCTTAATTATCTATTAAATAAACTAAATTTATTTTTTAAAAACTTGAAGCCCATGGGGGGAAGATATATGAAAGGAAGTGCTGGTGATGGAAAGATTCTTGATAGGAATTCTTTTCTGTTCTCAAACCTAGTTAAGTTCATTTGTTGAAGCCCTGGAGAGTTGTCAGAATTGTGATCTTGGCTGTTAAATAGCATTTAAGTGTGTCAGGTCAAAGAATAGATGATAAATCATTATCCTCTTTCTGTTGTGTGCCATAGAGTAGCCCATTTAAAATCCGATCCATCCTAACCAACTGTGTCATGTAAACAAAGCAATCTGCGGATTCATCCTTGTAGGACATTGACAGGTAAATTAACAAGGAAATAGAGGACAAAGAGGAAAGCTACCACCAGTGATGAATTGGGTTTTCCTCCCCAGTGACTTTGAAAATGTCAGCTGTCAGCACTGAAGTGTCTGGAATGCGAACTGAATTGTAGGGATGTATACACTGGTGAATCTTCTGCAAAGGAATCTTACTGGAAATCAATAATCCTGGGCAACTGTACATCACTTAGTTTTGTTGTGTAGATAATTTGCTTAGATGTGAGACGACTTCTCCTAAACTGGTGGTTATCTAGCCTGGCTGCATATTAAAATCATCTGCAGCACGTTAAAAATAAAATACCAACCAAATAAGGGCTTACGTTCTACCTGTGGCCAACTGAAACCAAATCCCTAAGGGACGACCTAATGTACCTTTAGAAGTTTACATGGTGGCAATTTTGGTATCCCGTGAGGGCTAAGAACCACTACTCTGAACTGTCCCCCGAATTTTGCCCTTATAGTTTTCAAGGTCTCCTTTTTGGCAGAACCCCAAGTAGTGACAATTCCCAAAGCATAACTTTAGGAGTTGAAATAGGATAGTGACCCAACTTCACACAGCCTACGAAGCTAACCACAGAAGCAGGTCAGTGGATTCTCAGCTGAGCAGTACCATGTGCAGAAAGGCCCAAGCAGGTGGGAGAGGGAGGATGTATTATTATAGAAAATCCTGTCCTGCTGCTGGGTCAGTTCCCCGTGTAGAAGGACACACCTACACTGTGGTCATCAGGAGAAACTGGGCCCCACATAGCTCTACTAGTGTAATGCCCGGCACTTCAGGTGCTCACTCTGCCCTCTGCCTAGAACACTGTGCCCACACTACCCATATGGCTCATCCCCTCACTTCCCTCACCTCTGACCACAGGTCAACTTTTCTGAAAGGTGTTCCTTGAACACCAGGCATGTACCTCTGCCTCACCCCATCTGTGTCCTCATTACCCTGCATTATTTTTTAATGGTATTTATGACCACCTGACATCAGACATCTGTCTACTTCCTTCCACTCACTCTCTCTTCCATGAGAATTTGGGTTCCATAATAGCACCCCAATGATTAGCACATAGTAGGCACTCGATAAATCAGTGGTTTTTTAAAATTTATTTATTTATGATAGTCACAGAGAGAGAGAGAGAGAGAGAGGCAGAGACACAGGCAGAGGGAGAAGCAGGCTCCATGCACCCGGAGCCTGATATGGGATTCGATCCCGGGTCTCCAGGATCGCGCCCTGAGCCAAAGGCAGGCGCCAAACCGCTGCGCCACCCAGGGATCCCGATAAATCAGTGTTGAATGAATGTCTCCCTCCATGGTGCCACAGTTGCTCCATGTGAAGGGAGTACTGTTACCTCCTTTATAGCTGGAGCTTCCCAGATGGTACCACCCTAACTGCTAGACCCACCCCCAAATAAATAACTTTTTTTAAAAAAAAAAGATGGAGAGGGAGGGGTGAAGAGAGAGAGAAACCCAAGTGGTCTCCATGCAGAGCCCGATGCAGAACTTTATCTCAGGACCCCAAGATCGCAACTTGAGCTGATGCCAACAGATGCTTAACCACTGAGACACCCAGGTGCCCTTAAATACAAACATCTTGAACAATGACCAAGCATTGTGTGTTTCACCTATAGCCTGATTTCACTTGTGAATGCATTTTGAAATAATAATGAAAATGTTTAAATCAGTGTTTTAGTGTCTCCTTGCTTTTAACACATTGAATAAAATTTTCATCTAAGTACAAAAAGCTCAAAAATCATATGCTTATTTTTTTAAAAAACAGCAGCCCCACTGGCAGTAAGAAGAAATGGAAACATACAACAATACAGATGAATCTCACATCCATTATGGAAAGTGAAAGAAGCTCCATTCAAAAGGCTGCAGTAATATTTGGGGAAAGGGAAACCTTTAGGGACCAAAAAAAAAAAAAAAAAAACCAGTTCTCTGGGTGCCAGGGGTAGGGAAGAGGGGCAGACTGACAACTAAGAGGGCAGCACAAGGGAATTTTGTGGGTCGGGGGTATGGAACTTTTCTATCATGACTGTGATTACAGATAGAGAATTCTATTAACTGGTCCAAGTTCTGGAAAGAATGAATTCTATGGGGTATAGATGAACACAGATTTCTCTGTAAAAGCCAGTGTCCCTTCCCACACTTACTAAATGCCCTGCTCTTCAGACGGCAGCCACTCTGAACTGTTTTAGCTCTATCTTTTGGTTATTTACTCCTTGCTTCCCAATAACATGCCTGATTTGCTACTTGAGTTATCGGTGTTAGGCAGTGGCTACTGGCTTCCTACCTCACAGGATATTTAGCTCTCACGCATCATCTTCCTGTCTGCCCCGGCCTGCACACATCTCAGCCTGCACTCCCAACAGTTAAATCCTCCTTTCAGCTGGCTCCAGTTTTTAGTATGTATTATGACCATGCGGATAATGTTCAAATGAGCCACACTATATACTATAATCACTTTTTCTTCTGTGTTTTCTGTGAGTTAAGTAATTTTACTTTTTATCTTCCTTAACTTCCTGTGTATTTGGCACTGATTCAGTCCTGGACTCCCCAGTTGTCTGGACCTCCTCACAGTATATGGAAATGCATCCTGCAACCACTCAGCTTCGTCTTCTTGAACCTCTGGGAGCATGCTGCCGTGCGCAATCTGGACGGTTCTCTCTTTGCTGGGCGTACATTTGTGATTTTGGGACATCCCTCACCATTACTCAGGAGATTCCTTTAGCCTTCCCCTTGGGTTGGAGCCCCCTTTCCTTAGATCTGTTGATCTAGGGCTTTCCCTATCACTTCAATTAACAACATCCTCTGGTTGTTTCCCCAGAAAAGTACATAATTTTGTGAGACCCTGAATGTCTAAAAGTATATCTCATCAACCCTTCCATGTAATTGAGCGTTAAAATGGCTACAGAATTCTGATGGGAATAATTTCCCCCTTAGAATTTTGAAAACTTTTGGGATGCCTGAGTGGCTCAGTCCGTTAAGCATCTGCTTTTGGCTCAGGTCATGATCCCAGGGTCCTGGGATCGAGTTCCGCGTCAGGCTCTCTGCTCAGTAGGAAGTCTGATTTTCCCTTTCTCCCTCTGTGCTCTTTCAAATAAATAAATAAAATCTTTAAAAAAATTTTTTTGAGAGCTTTCTGCCCCATTATCTTCTGGCTTCCATTGTTGAGAAGCACAGAACATTTCCATTTCTGATCTTTAGTGTAGGACCTTTTTTCCTTTGTCCCCCATGTCACGAAATTTATAAGACTATGTCCCGGTAATAGAACTCTCAACCTTTGTGCTGAACCTTGGAAAATCAAGACTCTTAATTCTGGCTTTTTTTTTTTTCCTTGAGTTCTTGTTATGTAGAAGGTGAGCCTCCTGGGTGGTTCTCTCATTTGTATAATTTTTCTCTCTGTGCCTTTTTTTTTTTTTTCCTTTTTTTAACCCTTTAGATTACCCTTGTTTGGGGATCCCTGGGTGGCGCAGCAGTTTGGCGCCTGCCTTTGGCCCAGGGCGCGATCCTGGAGACCCGGGATCGAATCCCATATCAGGTTCCCGGTGCATGGAGCCTGCTTCTCCCTCTGCCTGTGTCTCTGCCTCTCTCTCTCTCTCTCTCTCTCTCTCTCTCTGACTATCATAAATAAAAAATAAAAATAGATTACCCTTGTTTGTTTTACCCTTTAGATTTTCTTAATATTCCAGCTCTCTTCTTTTGAATTTTTCTGTCATTTTTATTTTTACAAAAACTCATTCTGAGTTTTGAAACAGAAATTTGTTATAGTTTCATGGATATAATAATCTCTTAGCTTTCAACTTCACATACAGGTGTCCCTTGAACAACAGGGCTTTGAACTGTGTGGCTCCCTTCTAGGAGGATTTTTTTCAGTAAATATACTGGAAAATGGGGGTGGGGAGAGACAATTTGAAAATTACTTTTCTGATTCATTCCCATCTCTTCCACTAACTAGACTCTTAGCTCTCTGAAGCTATCTTAGACCATGTTTGTCTTGTTTTTACTTATTCTTGGTGCCTTTCACAGCACCACACTTTGGGAGGTGTGAGAGTGCAGGGGCTAAAAATACAAGTTTTGGGGAGTCTGGGTTCAAACCCCAGCTCCACTGTTTAAAAATATATAGCCTTGGATAACTAACCTGCTTTGGCTCATTTCTTCATCAGCAAAAGTGGGATTATAAGAAACATCCCTGCTAGAGTTTTGCAGGATGATTTAGTGAGATAATCCAGCTAAAATGCTTAGTACTTAGTAAGCACTGATAAATGTCAGCTAATGTGTGAGATAAGCAAAAACGAATGATTAAGTGCCCTAACATCTTTTCATTTGAAAATACCATTCACTATGTATTTCATACTTAGGTGAGTTTGGGAATGTACTTCTGTCCCCTTGTATTCCACCAATAACCTCAGGGTCTTGTGTTACTTTTCCGCCACCAGGATATCCATCACAAGGGTCACGGCTGACATCTCACTCGCCAAGCGCTCAGTGTTAAACAATCCCAGCAAGCACGCGATAATAGAAAGATCCAACACGAGGTCGAGCTTAGGTAAGTCTGTGCTATGCTGGTGGGTTTAGGCTATTTAAACATTTCTCTCCCGAGGCTGCCAATGAGAAGATCTAACTAGATGACAATTCCATGTGTCATAAAGCAGAGAAGAAATAGACCCATGTTGCCAGTGGCTAGTGCTACAGTCTTAGTGATTTCATGCTATGGAAAGATTTGTTATGATAGTTTTGAGTTAAATATTCCACTGGCTGTCAGCATTAATGTTTTGGTTTTGGTTTTGGTTTTTCTGTGTGTTTGTTTTTTCCACTACTGTGAGCTTTGCTGTATCTAAAAACTCTTGGCTTTCTATTGGTGTTACCATGAGCAAGCTCACTGACCTTTTTAATGCCTAGTTTCCTCATTTAAGTAAAAACAAAATAGATATTAACTACCCTGTAGAATTATTGTAAGGATTAAACATAGTATGTTCTCCATCAAGGGTGGCTATCATCCAACGACTCTCAGTAACTGAATTATATCAATGATTATATGTGTCATATTCAGGATTATATGTATAAGGGAGGTGTGGGGGAGTGTTGAGATAAATGAAATCAATTCCTGGCCATTTTTAATTGATACCAATATTTTTATTTGCAAATACAGTATATAAAGATTTTACTTATTTGACACAGAAAGAACACAAGCAGAGGGAGCAGAAGGCAGAGGGACAGGGAGAAGCAGGAGGCTCCCACTGAGCAGAGAGCCCGACATGGGGCTTGATTCCAAGACCCTGGGATCATGATCTGAGCTGAAGGCAGACACATAAACAACTGAGCCACCCAGGTGCCCCAGGATAGAGACTTTAGTTAACATGTTTACAGGGTTGTGTTGGGATACTGTTTATTAATGTATTCAAATGAGATCCTTTGGCAACTGTTTCTTCTCTGTGGCATGTGCTTGGAATTTTAGGTTAATCACTCTTACATGGTAACTCATTGGGTTGTTAGGTTTGTTATAATTTTCTGAGAGTTTGAGATCTTTGATCTTCATTTTTTTTCCTGTTCATATGTTTTTTTTTTAAGATTTTATTTATTTATTTTACAGAGAGAGGGAGAGAAAGCAGGGGCGCTGCAGGGAGAGGGAGAAGCAAACTCCCCACTGAGCAGGGAGCCTGAGGCAGGGCTTGATCTCAGAACCCTGAGATCATGACCTGAGCTGAAGGCAGATGCTTAACTGAGCCATCCAGGCACCCTTAAAAACCTAGAAGTTTTTAGTTTATTCTGGAGCATATTACATAAATCAAAGAGAAACTATTAAAAATAAACTTTATCTGTTATCTGTGTAGAAGATCTTCTAAAACTCAGTTTTGTTCCTCACCTAACAAACCCTCACTGATTACACTTGAGTAATACAGCTTTAGAAATACTTTAGAGGAAAAATGTGATGATACATTTTGCTTACAGTAATTTCTTTTCATATTCTTATCATCTGTGACTCTTCTGTATAGTTTTGATGTTCACAGAGATTGTCACAAAATGCTCTTTCATTGATTCACCTCATTGACAGTGTCAGTTGTGTTTAGACTTGTAAGTTACATCAGTGGCATTACAGATTTGTTTAGATTGGCAGGGCTATTTGTAACTACCAACTGTATGTTATTTTTAAATGACTGTTTCACTTCATATACTTTATTGGACATATACTAGACCCCAAGTGTCGTGTTAAGCCTGGGAATAAAAAGATGAATTAGATGAAGGCATTGCCCTCAAGGAACTTGGTGTAACAGCAAGGCAAAGAAGTTAACAGCCCATTGAAATATAAAGTGGTGAGCACAGTGGGCCTGCATTGAACTGGTTGCCAGAGAGCTAATGCTGCAGGAAGGTGTAGGCCCCTGAGAAAGGCTTTTCCTAGGAGCTAATGGAAAGCACAATAGGGTTTAGGGAAGACAAAAGGGAAAGAGGTGGAGAGGGTGATGAGGACTTAAAACCAAGAGTAACAAGAGGCTTCTGGAAAACACAGCTTTCACCTTAGCTGTGAGTGTATGGTTTAGAACAGAGGGTGAAAGGAGAAGACACCAGAGAAGCAGAGGAGGGATATTAAGGAATTTGGAGCTTATCCCAAGGCATTATAGAACTATGTATAAATTTTAGGCATTTATTCACCCACTTAACAAATACTTGAGTCCCAACCATGTGCTAGGGATTATCATAAGTGCTAGGGACACAGAAGTAAAGGAGACCAAGTCCTCACTCTCATAGAGTTTTTGTTTCATAGGGAACACATGGACAGAAGCTAAGAGATGTAGCACTCAGTGGTTGAAGAGTCTAGGAAGAAAAAGCAGGCCAAACGGTAGAGAGTAAACTGAGAAAAGTATGTGATTTTACATGGGGAAGACAGGACCCTCTTTGAGGAAGTGATATTTTAGCAGAATGATTTGTTGTAAATTCTTTAGCCTTATAGCTACCTGTGAAGACTGTTTTGGGCAGAGAGAGCTGAAGATGCAAAGGCCCTGTGGCAGGAGTATGTGTGATATGTTTCAGGGATAGTGAGGAAGCCAGCATAACAGATATGAAATGACTAGAAGGGGGAGACAGGAGATTAGAGAGACTGTGCCTGATAGTATAATACTTTTATTATGGTAGAAAGGTACAGGAAGGCAGACAATGTAACACAGTGTGACTTGTGGTTTAGAAGGATCACTGACAGCATTGTGGAGAAGAGAGTGGAAAGGAGCTAGAGCCAAGTCAGGAAAAAATTCAGATTCTGTTGAAGCAGGTTCGGACAGAAATAATCTACTCTGGGCAGACACTAATAAAATTGGTGCCTTTAGAGAATCCCTCCCTGTAGCAGCAGGGTGGAGATGGGGCAAGAATTGGACAGGGAGGTCTTTTCAAAGGCTGTTGTCATCACTCAAGTTAGAGATTAAGAGAGGATTGCAATAAGACAGTAACACAGGTAATGAGTAGAATGAAAGGAATCCAGAGATACGAGAGTCAGGTATTGGCAATCTGTGGAACACAGAAAAGCCAACTCCAGCATGATCTCAGGTTTTTGCTCCAGGAACTGGGCCATTGGTGGTGTCATTCTAGGGAGAAGGGATTTTAGGAGGAGGATCTGGAGGGAGTGGACTGGTTAGGGAGATAAGGAAGATGGTGGCGGCATGTGGGCACATGTTGAATTTGCAGTGTTATGTAGCATCCGGATACCCAGCAGGGCATCACCTGTACATACAGACCTGGAACCTAGCACAGAGGGCAGGGCTTAGTATGCAGTCACTTTTGGATATTCAGTAGTTATGTGCTATAAAGTCTCCATGAACACTGAGGTAGCAAATACTGAGTCTTTGTTCCCAGAGAAACACAGGGGTAGGTTCCTCTGTATGAGGATTTTTATTTTTTATGGTAGCACTGGAAAATAGGTCATTATAATAGGCAGGAAGGTCAGGTGATACCCCTTTTGTGCCAGTACAACACGTTAAATAGCAAGTTATGTGTGCTGTGTGGACTCTATTATATAGGAAACATGTATATAACAGTACAGAATTGATACTTTAACACTCCAAGGATGTAAGTATATGAGTATATGCTGTGCCTTAAGATTATTCTGTATTTAGTAGAGGTTAAATTTGAGAAGATCTACCTCAAATCTATAGATGAGATGAATTTCAGCAATTATTTCTGTTAGAAAAGGGTGAAAGATTCAGTACAATGAAGATATAATTTGATAGGTAAAAAATTTGCTTTATGCACATGCTTTAGAAAACTTTTGTTACATAAACAAAAGTATAGTTATGTTGCCTTTGGAGTTCATTACACTGATGTGTATGATATGAAGGACAAGAAAACCCTGAAAAATTTGAAGCTTTAAGTACATCTTTTATACTGTTTTGGGGGTGGTACAGGACTCCTCTGCATGGACAGATGGCTTTATTTGTACTCATAAGACTCGTACAAGTTCTAACCTTTTTTCTCCGTTGTAATACTGCTCAAGCATCACAGTTTAAGATATCTACATTAGCTATTCAAACTTAGGGAATGCAAATGAAGAACATTACACTCTTAGAAATAAAAATACTACTTGAATGTAAGTGGTGATGGGTGTGGGTTACCCAGTTATTTGCCAATTCCAAGGCCAGATTTATTTTTAAAAATAATACATTCCTGAAGTGTGGTACCAAATCTGTGGTTTGGTTTGACCCCAAGCATCTTCCAAGAGGCAAATCAATTTAGGGAATATGGTACATCTTTGTGCACACTTGTACACAGGTATGTGAGTGTAGTGCTTAAAAAGTACCACACGAGGGATCCCTGGGTGGCGCAGTGGTTTAGCGCCTGCCTTTGGCCTGGGGCGCGATCCTGGAGACCCGGGATCGAATCCCACATCGGGCTCATGGTGCATGGGGCCTGCTTCTCCTTCTGCCTGTGTCTCTGCCTCTCTCTCTCTGTGTGACTGTCAAAAAAAAAAAAATTTTTAAAAGTACCACACGACTGTAAAAACTATGTGCTGAAGGTGGGAAAATACTGGGCAAATATGAGTTAAGGAAGCAAAGGTAGATTTAGCTGTGCAGGTGGAAACAGTTACAACTGACAGCATGCAGGGAATGAGGGAAGGCATTTACTTTGTATAGTGGCAACACAGGTGGTTAGCTAACAATGTTTACAACCTGGTAAATAGTGTTAATCCAACTGAAGAGCTAGCTTCCATCATTTATTTTGTCACTTATTCCTTGTGATGGAACTGTTCTCTTAACTCTAGTGCTGGTTACATAAACCAACACATAGGATGAAATTCTATACATCTAAATATACATACAGAGAGTACAAGAAAACCAGAGAAACATAATAGGATTGGTGGATCATATTTATATTCCGGTTGTGATAATCACATTGTAGTTTTGCAAGATGTTTCTTTCCACTGGGAAAAACTGGGTAGATGGTACAAGGGATCTCTGTATTTTTCTTACAACTGCATGTAAATTTATAATTATCTCAGTAAAAGTTTCAACTAAAGCAGAGTTCATCATTTTTATCTTCTGTTTATAGCACCAGGGACTTTAGAACTGGGATGACCCACATGAGAAAAGCATTTTCAGTGGTTCCTGAAGTGTGGTCTCCAAATCTGCAGTGTCAGCATCACGGGGCATTAGTTAGGAATGACAGTTCTTAGGCCCTGTCCTGACCTACTGAATCAGAAATTCTAGAGGTGGGTGGGGCCCTACAGTTTGTTTTAACAGGCCCGCCAGGTGATTCTACTGTCTGCCAGAACGACTCCCAACCTTGTTCAAGCTCAGCACCGAGTAGGGAAGAATCTGAAAACAATAGGAAATGAATGGTTCTGTATGTAGTTAAGCTTTATACTAAGATATAAAATGAAGACTAGACACTGAGGGTCTTGACTAGCAGTCCAGATTTTTTTCCATTGAGCAGTGCCATCTGGCAGTGATGCTGATTGCATTTACTTGACCATCTGCCTTCTCTTAGGAAGAATGGAGAACGAAGGGCTGATGATAGAAGGCTATAAAATTAGCCTTGCAAATGAACCTGAAATTTATGTGACTAGTTGATCTTTTGAATCTAATTTCTTTCCTCCTTTTGACCTATTACCAGTGTAGCTGTCTTGAGAAATTAGCACACTCTTTGTTACACCACACTGCACTGATGGCCCAGCTATAGCAATCTTTCTCTACCCAAAGGGAGTGGTTCACTTTGTCTAAATATATTTTGGTAGTCATATTCATTATTTAGTTGACTCATTCTTTCAACAGAATTTGAGTGCCAACTTGTACCAGGCACTGTACTGAGGGAAGAAATAGGGCTAATTATGTATTGTTCTATCAGTTCACTGCCTATTGGAAACATTTTCAGTCCTATCATTGAAATTCTGTAGGGGAAGGGGGCACCTGGGTGGCTCAGTGGTTGAGTATCTGCCTTGGCTCAGGTCATGATCCCAGGGTCCTGGGATTGGGTCCCATGTTGGGCTCCGCACAAGGAGCGTGCTTCTCCCTCTGCCTATGTCTCTGTCTCTCTCTGTGTCTCTCATGAATAAATAAAACCTTAAAAAAAATTCAGTGGGCAAACTGTCCATAGAGGTAGGTACAAAGCAATACATTTGATACCTAAATGATGGGGGTGAGAGGCACCAATCCCCATGTTAAAAATCCAGGTGTAACTTTTGACTCCCCCTAAAATTAACTACTAATAGCCTACTGCTGACCATAAGCCTTATAGATAACATGAACAGTTGGTTAGCACATATTTTGTATTCTAATACAAAATACGAATTTTCTGAGAATAAAGTAAGCTAGAGAGAAAAAAAAAGTTAAGAAAATCCTAAGAGGAAATACATTGACAGCATGGTACCGTACTTACTGAAAACATCTGTGTATAAGGCAACCCCACATTTCAAATCCATGTAGCTCAATGTCAAGTGTACTTGACATGTATTATTTACTATGGGACAGACATTGTAATAGATGATTTGCATGTTGGTTCATTTAATTCCCATTCTCATTTTCCAGAAAAAAATATTTAGGCTCCAAGAGGTTAATAAGCATGCTACCCAAGGATCACATAGCTCTATGAAGTGATGAAGCCTATTTCTGCCCCAAGCCATTTTGGTGCCAGGAAAAATGCCTATTCAGACCTTCTGTCCATTTAAAAAAAAAAATCAGACTATTTTCTTGCTATTTGGTTGTATAAGTTCTATATTTTGAATATTAGCCCCTTATCAGACATGTGATTTGCAAATATTTTCTCCTATTCAATAGGCTGCCTTTTCATTTTGTTGATAGCTTCTTTTACTGTGCAGAAGCTTTTTAGTTTAACATAGTCTCATTTGTTGATTTTGGTTTTAGTTGTGTTTGCTTTTGATGCCAAATCCAAAAAAAAAAAAAAAAATTCAACAAAACTGATGTCAAGAAGTTTATCACCTATGTTTTTTTCTACAAGTTTTATGGTGTTAGGTTTTTTATTTGTCTTTAATCCATTTGGGGTTGCTTTTTGTATATGGTGTAAGATATTGGTTCCATTTCATTCTTTTGCATGTGGCTGTCCAGTTTTCCCAATACCATTTATTAAAGAGACTGTACTTTCCCCAATGTGTGTTCTTGGCTCCTTGGTCATAAATTGACCATTTATGCATGGGTTTATTTCTAGGCTCTCTCTTCTGTTCCACTGATTTGTGTGTCTGTTTTTATGCCAATACCAGACAGTTTTACTCTAGTATTGTAATATAGTTGAAATCAGGAAGTGTGATGCCTCCAGCTTTGTGCTTCTCTCTCAAGAGTGAGTTGGCTTGTCAGGGTCTTTTGTAGTTCCATACAAATATTAGGATTGTTCTAAGAAAAAGCCACTTGAATTTTGACAGGGATTGCACTGAATCTGTAGATTGCTTTGGGTAGTAGGGACATTTTAACAATATTTTTCAAGCCTATTAATACAGAATATCTCTCCATTTATTTGTATGATAGTTAATTTCTTTCATTATTGTCTTGTTTTTGGTGTTTCATCTCCTTGGTTACATTTAATCCTAGGTATGTTCTTTTTGACACAGTTGTAAATGGGATGGTTTCTTACTCATATTCTGATAGTTTGGTTTGTAGAAACACAACATATTTTTGTATACTGATTTTGTGTCCTGCAACTTTACTGATTTATTCTAACAGTTTTGGGGGGAGGTCTTCAGGGTTTACAATATGTCATCTGCAAATAGTGATGGTTTTACTTCTTCCTTTCCAATTTGGATGCCTTTTGTTTTTTGCCTAATTGGCCTAGCTAGGACTTCTAATAATACGTTGAATAAAAGTGGCAAGAGTGGACATCCTTATTTCATTTCTAATCTTCGAGAAAAAGCTTTCAGCCTTACTGTTGAATATGATGTTAGCTGTGGGCTGATCAAATTTCATAATGCCTACAATAATATTTAGATTGGAACTTGATTGTTGGGGGTCAGTGGGCATGAAAACATTGGTAGAACACAAAGCCGCAGCAAGGTTATAGAATTGGAATAACAATTTAAACAATATTAGCAAGGTTTTAGAACACCATTATAAAAAAGTCAAAATATACCATTTTTATTTTTAAAACTCTTATTAAAAGAAATTCAAACATATAGAGAAGTAAAAAGTATGAGTAACCTCAGGTATTCATCACCCACTTTCAACATTCTGGCCAGTCTTGTTTCATTTCCAGTCTTCCCTTTTCTCCCCCAGCTGTCTCTGGATTATTTTGAAGCAAATCCCAGACATCATATGGCTTTATCTGCAAATATTTCAATGTGTATTTCTGAAAATTAGGGACTCTATTTAAACCACAATGCCATTATCATATCTTAACAGTACATCCCTAGTATCATTAGATTTCTATTCAGCCATATATCATTTCCCAGTTGTCATATATACTTTTAGATATACATTTTACTTATGTATTATAAGTATATATAAATTAACATTTGCTTTAATGAGGATACAAAGTCCATAGTGGATTGGTTCATAGGTCTGTAAGTTTCTTAATCTGTAGTTTGACAAAAGTCTTTTTTTTTTTTTTTTTTTTTTTGCCCTTATAATTTTTTTGCTTGAAGAGACTGGGTCACTTATCCATAGGGTTTCTGTAGTCTGAAGTTTTCTAACTGCCTTATACTGGTGTAGTTTATGTAATTGTCTATTCTTTGTTTCTTGTAAACCAGTAGACCCAGAAGCTTAACCAACTTGTTTTTGGTTTTTCTTTCTGCAAGACTGCCATGAGCAGCATGTAACCAAATAGTGTTTTAAAGCTAGTATCGCAAATGGTTTTAGCCCAGATTTTAAAGACATCAAGGTAAATAAAAGGACTCTAGTCATAACGTATTGTGAGGCACAGGATTAGTGACTTGTCTTTTCTGCAATAAAATACTAGTTGAAATGATCTTCAGCCATCTTCTGCAGGGATCTAAATGCGTAATAGGAATTAAAAGTATTCTGTAGGTCTAGGAGTCTTATAGAATCTGCCCTTCATGACTGTAGAGGACACTTACAAGCTAACGTTAGGCCCTTATAGATCTGTGCTGCCTAGGTACAGTAGCTTCTGGCTATTTAACTTATTTACGTTTAAAAATTGAGCTTCTCATTCACACACTAATGACATTTCAAGTGCTCAACAGCCACCTGTGCCTAGCAGCTCTCATACTGGACGACATTGATACAGACTATTTCCATCATCACAGAACATTCTAATGGACAGTCCTGTTTTCGGTTTTAGAGAGGCCACAAAATAGAGAGGCTGGAATTTTCTTGGTGTTCAAGCATATTTTTAGTAAGTTTTCTATAAATCTTACAGAAAGATATGGATTTCAGTAGTGCTGCCTCTAATGGATAACTACCCTTTTAAAATATGAATACTGCAGGACCATTCGTCTGTTGGCAGAAACTATGAGAAGTGTGTTTTTGGACAGGTTTGTTATAGATACTATTGTTTCTTCCATTTTATGTTGGATTTCAGCTTGCTGATAACATATTTAGATTATCATATCCAGAAAGCACACTAATAGGTGACAGTATAAACACAGATTAAGGTGATGGAGTGAAAATAAATGAGTGATAGTTGCTATGGTAATGTGGTCAGAAACAGACATGTTAAAGATATCCTTAACTTTCTATTTTCTAACATTTTTACAAAATGATTTCAGAGGGAAGTTTTATAGCACAAAGAGACAGAGTTATACTGGAAGCAAATTTTATAGCTGTTTGAAAGAAGAATTCCCTCAATTCTAAAGGTTCTGTGGAGAAACAGCTCTTTCCAAGGCATACCTTTATCACCTCGATTGCCTGTAAACATTTACCTGTAGGCTGCCCTACTCCCCTTCCTGTTGAAACAGTGTACCGTTTTATTTCAGTTTGGTCTGAAATTACCTTAAGTAATCAAATTCTGCTTAACCTTTTACAGCGGAAGTTCAGAGTGAAATTGAAAGGATTTTTGAACTTGCAAGAACACTGCAACTGGTAGTCCTTGATGCGGATACTATTAATCATCCAGCTCAACTCAGTAAAACTTCTTTGGCCCCTATTATAGTATATGTAAAGATTTCTTCTCCTAAGGTAAGTAGGGTTGTTATTGTTTGCTCTCTAATCGAACTTCACAATGATTATGTTCTGCTTTACAGTTACACAAGCTACATCTTTATCCATCATAAAGAGTTTGATGAGACATGCAGGCAAAGTGTGATAATTAGTTTCATGGCTTAGAACAGCAATTCTCAAAATGTAGTCCATGGTTTCCCAGGGGAAGGTTCTGAGAAACTTCTTGTGAGTCCCTGAGGTCAAAATTATTTCCATAACACTAAGACTTGTTCTGCTTTTTCACTGTTTTGACATTTGCCCTGAGGGTGCAAAAGTCACCCTGGTGGGTAAAACTGCTGGTGTCCATGAATCAAGAATGTAGTACCAGACAATGCTCACAGTTGAAAAAAAAACAACCATCACCCAGTTTCACTGAAGCATGTCCTGACAAAGTAGTAAAATTTATTAATGGTACTAAATTTTGACTCTTAAAGACTCTTTCAGTATTTTCAGTATTCTGTGTAATGAAACAAAGTACACTTAATAGGTGAAGCCCTTATTTTTACCAGTTATCATGAGGACATACAGTGATTATTCAAGTTATAAACTGAAGTAGCCTCATTTTTTCACAGAATACCATTTTTATTTGAAGGAACAACTGACCTACTAGGTTTATTGAGATTTAGTTATTTGGCAGGTATTTTCCCACTTGTCATCAGTAATAAAACTCAAACTTTCACACAAAAATTAAAATTTCATAAAACTTTTATCCATCTAAGAGTTTATTAGCAGCTTCTCAAAAGATAGAGTTTTCTGATAAGATCAGTGGTAACAGCAAATATGTTTTAATACTGTATAAGAAATGTGTCAACATTGGGAAGACCTGAAGCATTTACTGCAGGTGAACCATTATTTTCCAAATTATCAAGGAATGAAGTTACAAATCATGTACAGTTAAAGATCCATTCAAATTTAACAGTAAGAAAAGTTCATTGATAGGGTTTCAGCTTTCACATGGCAACTAGTCTTTAAGAAATGACCACTTGTTGAGTTTCATGTAATACCAAAGAACAGTATAGCCACAATTATCTGAAAGGGCTACTAAATATTCCTCCTTTGCTGAATTACCTGATTCTGACTTTTACACATTATTTCAGCCAAAACAATATGCTGTAGCAGGTTAAAAGTAAATGTAGCTAGGGGACTTGGTTTTCTTCTATGAAGCCAAGTATGTTAGAGAAATTTGCAAAAAAATGTGGATATTTTTTACAAAAATAATTTGCTAAAATGTAACAGGCTTCATTTTTAAATGAGTGTTTTAAAACTATTTCAGTTGTAGTTTCTACTGTGGTAAACACTACTTCACATAAAAGCTCTTGGGGTTCTCAGGTTTTTTCAACGTAAAGCACTCATGAGACATGAAGTTTCTTTGAATAAAGGTAAGACTCAGAAATAATAAGCTCTATGCCAGTTATCTTTTTTAAAGCATTTTTTAAAACTTGCAACTGATAATTTGTTAACATGTTAATTTTGCAGATAAGCTTACACATTTTATAGATTATAAATCATATGCGTTATATGCAGGCCCTATATAAAAGGCCCTAGAGTAAATAACAAAACTTGTTCTTTACCTGAGTGCAGATACTCTTCTGTTAAATCTTATCTTTCACAGGTTTTACAAAGGTTAATAAAATCTCGAGGGAAATCTCAAGCTAAACACCTCAATGTCCAGATGGTAGCAGCTGATAAACTGGCTCAGTGTCCTCCAGTAAGTTATCTCTATATTCAGTATAATCCACTTGAAGACCTCAGAAAGATTTCTATATTTAAAAAGCAAGCAAACAAAAACCAGACAGGGGAGAAAATTATCTCCATTTAGCCATGGTCTTCATTTTTAAGAAGTGAACTGTCCCTACTTCCTCCCATGAGCACTTGCCTAGATGATGGCTTACAAAAAGCTACAATGCATTCAGTGATGACCTCACTTTGTTAATATCTAATTAGTATCCTACATGGAACGTGATTTTAAAAATTTGGTTTAAAAAATGGATCTCTTTGGGACTTATTATTCACTTCTAATAATAGGGAGCAAGTTGCCAGCTCTTAATGACTGAGAAATTGTTTAGAAATGTGTTTTTACACAGCCTCAAATAAATTAGTTACATGGCTTCTGGCACCTAAACACCTTCCTTTTCCTAATCCCTGCTCTAAATATCATGCTTCGGGACGAGAGATCACCTCTAGGTTTTTGTTTTGTTTTGACATGCAGGTATATCAGAAGCTAGAATTATGATTATATTTTTTTATTGCCTGGGATATTTTGAAGTTTGGGCCCTGTCAAATCATCAGTGGTTTCAGCTTTCTTCTGCCAAATTTCATGTCCTACTCTTGCCTAAAGAGTAGGACAAATTTTCCAAGATGAAGTTTTTCATAATCTCGAGGTCAAAACCAGACCTCTTCCTATACTGTTCAGATTATATTTTTATTTTTAACCTCTCTTTTCTATCATGTCCTAACCAACTATCCTTACACCTTTCACTTTCTGGTCATTACTATTGCTTAAGCATCTAGGGTTGTGAATGATAATCTGAGGAGGTAGCTGTACAGACACAATCTGACTCAACAGGACATTTCAGCCAGTTTGTAAAGGAGAAAGCAGGTACACACAAGCAAATATAAAGTGGTGCAGCTCATGAGCCACTTCCCTTTGAGTGTGTGTGCAACTCACTCAATGCTGGACTGCTAGAAGTGTATCATCTGAAATGTTTGCCTGTGCAGGAGCTGTTTGATGTGATCCTGGACGAGAACCAGCTCGAGGATGCTTGTGAGCACCTTGCCGACTATCTGGAGGCCTACTGGAAGGCTACCCACCCTCCCAGCAGCCATCTCCCCAACCCTCTCCTTAGCCGTACTTTAGCCACTTCAACTCTGCCCAGTAGCCCCACTCAAGCCTCTAATTCACAGGTAAGAGGGACTCTCTTCGTAAGAAAATGCTCTAGAAACTAGGCTGCCTTAGGTCATGTGGCTGGGATCCAAGCCCAGTTACCCAGCACAGTGTGTGTTCCAGTAGAGCAGCTCTATCCACACTGAGACAAACACTGAGTCATTTACTATCTTTAGTGTGAGTTGTGTACCCATAAGAACTATGTCAACAATATACTCAAACATATATAAAGTTTAAAAATCTCTAGCTACATGTTCTGTAAAACAAGGCTAGCTTTTTCTACACTGCCAGCAGCACAACCATGGAATCAGACTGCCTTGGTCCAAATCCACTCTACCTCTTAGTTGAGTGGGTCAGGTTGGAGAAGCTCCTTACCTGCCCCTTGCCTCAGGAAGACAAATGGCAACCTGTCTCATAGGGCTGCTGCATTATTCATTTGATACAGAAGATTGTCGTAGGACAGTACTTTCCTCATGCTGAGTGGTATGTAGTAAGCATGTGGCATGTTATTTCTTCTCCTTAATCCTTAAGCCAAAACCAACATCTTAAGCAATTTTAATCTTCCCACTTGTATACAAGTAGAGGTATTGAAATGTACACTTGTGTGTTGAGAAATCTTAGGGACCTGTATCTGAGCCCCAGGAGAAGATATAAAATGATGCCCCCCCTCATTTAGTCATCAAGGGGGAACAAAAAGTTACTCTGTACACTATTGTAGGCACTTACAAATCAAAGTCTGATATAGTATAGTATAAAACCTTGTAAATGCCACCAGATGTTAACAAAAGAAGTAACTGAGCTAGGTTAGATTCATTTTAGAAACTCACAAGGGCATCAACATGAATGGATGGACCTGTTTTTGCGACATCTGACCTTGGTTGATGCCTGTGCTTGCTCCCTTCCCCACCAGGGTTCTCAAGATCAGAGGACTGAGCGCTCTGCTCCTGCCCGGTCTGTGTCCCAAGCTGAAGAAGAAGCCTGTCCGGAACCCGTCAAGAAAACCCAGCACCGTTCCTCCTCTGCCCAGCACCACGGCCATCGCAGTGGGACAAGTCGAGGCCTCTCCAGGCAGGAGACGTTTGACTCAGAGACCCAGGAGAGTCGAGACTCTGCCTACGTGGAGCCGAAGGAAGATTACTCCCACGAACACGTGGACCACTATGCCCCCCACCGTGACCATAACCACAGAGATGAGCCCCACGGGAGTAGTGAGCACAGACACAGGGAGTCTCGGCACCGGTCCAGGGACCTGGATCGAGAGCAGGACCACAACGAGTGCAACAAACAACGCAGCCGGCATAAATCCAAGGATCGCTATTGTGACAAGGATGGGGAAGGCATCTCCAAAAAACGGAACGAGGCTGGGGAATGGAACAGGGATGTTTATATCCGCCAGTGACTTTTGCCCTTTTTTGTTTCTTTTTTTTTAAGTCTTGTATACCACCACCCTCAGACTCCATCTTTGGGGTCTACGTTGCAGTCATATGTGATCTGTCTTGTACACTTTGTATTGCTGTTGCTTGAATAGCAATAGCATGATAGAGTATTAATATACTTTTTTTTTCTTTTGTAAGTGCTATATAAATTCGCCTGGTATGGCTGCAGTCCTCCGGTTGTATACTGGACTTTTCAAAAACTGTTTGGGATAGCTGCCACTTGAACAAAATCTGTTGCCATCCAGGTGGCATTAGTATTTTAAGAAACATAGTTGATGTTTTCAAAACTGTAGTTGATGTATCCAGCAAGCCACAATTGGCCCAGATAAAAAGTGGAATTTCTTGATTCTCCAGATTTTTAATATGTAGGCACCTAATTTGCATATTCATTTATCCATGGACCACTGTTTCTTGCTTGTACCTCTGGCTGACTAAATTTGGGGACAGATTCAGTCTTGCCTTACACAAAGGGGATCATAAAGTTAGAATCTATTTTCTATGTACTAGTACTGTGTACTGTATAGTTTGTAAATGTTATTTCTGCAAACACCTTCTTATGATAATTATATATATAATATATATATATATATACATATATATATATCAGTTGGATCACACTATTTTAGAGTCTTAATGCCAAGTCAGCAGATTTGCTTTATGAATTACAGGGACTAGAAATGCCCACCTTCAGGAAATTTGTAATATTGTCTAGACACCTTTCCCCATTCTAGTAGAAAGTCTGTACATACTGTAAATATGTGATTGCCTGACTTGAAAAGGTTTGATTTCTGAATGTTTTACCATCCTTGTAAGTTTATAATTTTGACCATAAATTATGGTAAATATAACCAAACTCCAAAGGTTGTTCTAATCCATGCAGTTCACACTGATTGTGACAAACACATACTTATTAGTAGCTAGTGTCTTATGTCACTGCACTGGAGTATATGAGCCGGACCTCTGTGTGTCTGTGTGTAAGAGTGTGCACGAGTGACTGGGCTGGAGCTGAGTGCTGAAGACTCGAGACTAATACCTAGAATTCTACCCACATGGTTTTGTATTTAATTGTGCTACGTGTTGCTTTGAGAATCCATTGAGCAGTCAGGTATTGTGAGGAAGCTTGCTGCCAAAGGTGACTAGGAAAGCATTTATCTGCTGGCTCCTTGTTTTTGCTCCTAGAGAGTAAAAATACAAGCAACTTTTAACTGTGAGTGTTTCACTGGAAATGTACAATCTTTGTGTGTTGAGTATTTGTTTTAGTAAGAAATGTTTACACAGCTTGTAGAATTATTTCGTGGGAAAATAAATTTTATAACTCCCCCCACCTCCTTTTCTACCCTTGCCTATCGTTCCTGTTGTTTATCTCCCTGAAATTTCCCCTTCATTCCTTCCCTGCCACCAACTCCCAACAGTTTCGCTGTCCGTCAAAACCTAGAAGTGCTTCTTATAACCAAAGTTTCTGCTCTTCAGAAGTAATCAGGGCAAAATGAGGTGACTTGAAGTGAACAAAACGTTAAGAATATCTTCCTCCATTAGACATCGACTCTGAAGGGGAACCCAGAAGATCCTATTCTCCATGCCTCAATGATATAGCGCTGTAAGCAGCTCACAGTGTGGTTGTCACGCTAAGGCTGAAACCTTCTGTGTCGTTTCTGTGTACACTTTTGTCCAGTTATGCCTGGACAGGTAAGACAGTATTAGGTGTGCAAGTACCTAGCACCTAGAGCTTGGCCCTGAAAAATGCCTATCTATAATTGCCTAACTTCCGACTGTACATTATGAAATGATTATTTTGTTAAATAAGTTAATCTATTTTTGTTTTGCTTCTTTGATTATTCCAGGTTCTTGCCAAATATTCTGGGACCTTTCTAAGTGAAGTTGTTTCACGTTGAACTCCTTATTTCCCTTCCCCTTCAACAAAACTCAGTTTTAAAAATGAGTTATATTACCTGATAAAACCCTTTAAATGTAAGAAACATTTTCCTCATAATTAATCTTTTGTTAATTAGCTCTGAACTGTTGACAAATTTATTTATTGAATATAAAAATGGTAGTCATAATATATACATTTTTTATGTAAACTATTCATATCATTGGGAAACCATATTCCAGGTAGTTACTTGTATAAAATATTTCTGAAACTTTCATCCCGTTTAATGACTTTGGGATATTTAGAACTCTTGAAGTATAACTGGTATTTATCTTACTTGCTGCTACCACTTATCCCTTTCAAAGAGTCATGCTAACAGATTCGTTTTAAAACTTCATACCTGGATTCTTAATTTTTCACTTTACTGTGAAACATACTAGTCCAAATCAGAGTATTCCTCAAAGAACTATATTGCAGGATTTGACATGAGCATCTATATGTGAAAACTGTATAGTAGGCATATGTGTAAATGTGTGTACTCAATTTGTAAATGCAGAAATAATCCCAAGGGCAATGGGAGATTTTACTGACTTGTGGAATGTAAAATTAGTCTTTTCACTCAGCAAAGGCTTAACCTTAACCTACTCAGTTGTAGAATCATGATCTTTGTAGTCAACCTAGAAAATGCTGGAAATGGACATGTTTTTGATAGTTCTGTGTTTTATTGTCAACCCCATTTCAGTTTTTCCTATGCTCTTTCTCTCCTGCTCATTTAAGTTACTGTTACAAAAAGGTGCTGCTAAATGTAGGATGTCTTAGTCATATTGTACTTTGGGACAATGCCACATTTTTAACATGGTCTGCTGTGCATTCCTGTTAAACATTCACTGTCAGCGACACTGAACTGTTCAACAAATCTGGTTTAAATTCATTCATATAAAACAAATAAAGAGCTGGCTTTCTGCACTGTTTATTAGTAGTATTAATTGCAATTTTAGGAATGTTTCTCATAGTTGAGCCTATGTCAGATTTCCAATACCACCTCCTACTGTGGAGGATCTTTCCTAAGGGCAAAGCTAATCACTGATGTTACTTTCGTGAGTAAAATTAAACTGGTAAAATGACAGCTTACTGGAGGTAGAGATCTTTTAAAATAGGAGCACAGCAGAGTCCTCTTTAAGTCTACCTGTGTGGCAATTCTTGATTCAGATTTTTTTTATTCTTCCTTCATTTTTAAAATGAAGATCTATCTTGATGACAAATTTAAATCCTCACCCTTATCTCCCCTTCACTCAGAGCAGTGATACAGTGCTGCCTAGTTGTGGATACTTTCATCCTAGGAATATGTCAACAGTCACACAGTTAGGGAAGATAGCTAGGTAGATGATGAATTAGATGATTCCAATTATTCAATCTGGCTATATTATATTTGTATTTCACTTTACTATTTAAAGTAAAATGTGGTTTTTACTCAGTGTTAAAAGTTGTTTTTTTTTGTTTGTTTCACAGAAATATGTATGTTAACCCCAAATATGTTGAGAGAATATATTTTCCTCCACTTTTCCCAGATTTTTTCCCTCTTCATTTTACTTTTTCTTAAATTTGGGTCCCTTAAAATTGAATGTGTTTATTTTCCAATTTGCCCTATTTTTTGAAGGAAAGAAAACACTGAAAAGGTCTATGTCAAAGCCAACATTTTTAACAATGTTCTTTGTCCTACTGTTTTTAGTATGCAAATATTTTCTTTTGTTTTGACTGCATTGCTTGTATTTGATATTTGTCAGCATTAATCAACAGTTTACACATCTACTGCTGGTCTCCCTGTCTACGATTTTCATCCCAGCTGAGCACGTAAGGCTTGGCAGACAGCATGAGAAGACATGGATTTTTTAAAACATAAAGTCTGGAGAAATGTGCTGAGCCCTAGAACGGATGACACAGGTAAACAGTGCTTCTCTTTAGTCCAATGACATCTGCTGGATAAAAGGCAGAATGAGGGATATAAAGAAGTCACACAGCTGAATCTGATGATAGAGCTTAAAATATCTTGTTCCTCATTCAATAGGCATGTATTGATGATCTGCTCTAAAGCAGTGACAGGGTTCCTGCCGCCAAGACTTTCCTGAGCCGGGGAGGAGGGGGAGGAGTAAGGAACATGCCTATTGAACTAAGAGTGTGTTAAGGGCCGTGACAGTGGCAGAAGTGGGTGCTAGGGGTATATGGAAAGGCAGAAATGCCTAAGTCAACCTCAGAGAAGGATGTTCAAGAAAGGCTTCTTCAACGAAGAGGCCTGCTAAAGATCTTACCTGATGCAAGAGACCTTGCAATCTGATGGACACAATACTTAGGAGAAATTCCTAACAGAAACCTAGGAGGGGGGAAAAAAAAACTATTAGGCAGTTGTTCCCAACTGTCCACCTTAAGTGCCTGAGGCTGAGAAACTCTGGGGTGATTCAAATGGCAGTTATAATGTTTAAATACTTAACACTATATGAGACAGGCTTTAAACTGGGTTGAGTATTGAATATTTCAATATATATTATCTAAAAAGCAGTAGGATGAAGCAAGCCTAAGTTATAATTAATTTTTAATAAAAGCAGTCACCTATTGGCCACAAACAATGGGGTATTTAGTCACTTTTGCAGTTAAGAGGATGTTCGTGTTTTTGTCTGATTCCAGATCTGATTAAGAAGTTGCCTTTTTTGCCTTGATCTACCATACTCATAGTTGCTTTGTCTGATGTTGGTGTTCTGTGAATTTATGTTCAAGAGTAGAACACCAAGGTGTAGCTCTAAGTGCCAAGCCAGTTCCCAGCCACCAGAAGCTGGTTTTGTTCTGTCTCCACAGTCATATCACATTAACTTGTAGAACAGGTGTTCCAATGGATGATAAAAGGCACCCAAGTTGTGGAATATCCTCATAATTTTAATGTTATAAAGAAAATAGTTTAGGTTTTAGTTTAAAAGCATGAAAAAAAGGTAAACATGGTAAAGGCACACTACCATTTAGGAGAGATGTAGTCTTCCTTTGAAAGTTGATTTAGGGGCACCCGGGTGGCTCAGTTGGTTAAGCGTCCAACTCTTGGTTTCGGCTTCGGTCGTGATCTCAGGGTCATGAGATTGAGCCCTACATTGGACTCTGCACTCAGCATGGAGTCTGCTGGAGATTGTCTCTCCCCCTCCCTTTCCCTCTCCCCCTGCTACTCGTGCCCTCTGCCTCTCAAATATATTTTTTAAAAACCGACTTATCAAATAGTCAACAGAAAAACTGATAAAATGCCCAGCTCAGTTATAGGCACATGAAAAATGTCAGTTGCCATGCCCTGAATTCTTAGGGAACTCTTGAAGGAACTCAAGAACAAAGAACATTTTTTACCAAATTAAATATTGCTCATTTTATTCCTTTTGTCACAATCACAGATCACAAGAAGGACTTGTATTCTTTACACATTAAAACACACAACCCCAAATGAAAATATGCTCCAAATATCTGTAGGCATCTCCTTTTCTTTATACTATGCTAAATCCTTAAGAAAAAAATTATTTAAAAAACACAAAGTATAATCTCATACCACCCCCAACTACTATATCCTCCATGAAGTAGAGTCTCTTGATCATTGATCCCTGGTGCAACCACTGGCAGCCTTTTCTGTTTCCTTAGCAACTATGCCATCAATCACCCAGCCTGACCCTTTTTTTGGGGGGGGTGATAAAAAAAGAAAACTATAGAGAGAATGTTTGGCATTTTGATTTCTAAGGATCCTCCTATGTGCTTTTGCATTTTATGAATTTTGCAATAAAAAACCCTATACAATCCTTATTTGCCAGCCCAATCATGTCTTCTATACTGGCATCTCTGAGAGAATCAATGTCGGTGTCCCATGATGGCACAACGGATGGATCAAACCGCTGCAGCTGTTTCAGCTGTTCAAATGAAAGGCCAGCACCCATCATTCCTTCTCCTCCAATCTGTGGGTCCTGTTTGGAGAAAACAAGAAACCACGAACATCCTGTAACTGGTAAGTGTGCCCGTGTACAATTTAAGTGAAAAGACAAACCTGAGGAGTAAGTACCACCAATTCCAGAAACAGACAAATGCTGTCCCTGCAATGTTCATGCGGTTTCCTGGCAGCACCGGAAGGTCACCTCATGAATTCATGAGGTGCCACAGTTTTGCCACATTTTAACTGTGGATCTTAAATGAGGAACTTTACCTGTTTCCTTATCTATAAAACTAAAGGTGGTATCCTGCCTGGCATCTAGAGGCCACTCAGTAAGTGGGACATCATCAGTAACAGTAATATATGAAGATTCAGCTTTCTTCCACTACCCAAAGCTGACAGGAGTTCCTTAGGTAATTTGAAGTGCCTTTCTCTGACCCACACCAACTGGATGATAAAAGTTTTCTACTGCTGTCTTTGAATGTACTAGAACAAGGCTGTGTCAACTCATTTGGAATACGAGAATCATAAGGAATTGATGTGTGAATTACTGCACAAGATCCATAATCCTAAGCGAAGTCACTACTGCACAAATGTTATGTTTACTGTTTTGGTATTATTAAAAACCTATTGCTTATTAACCCATTGGGGGGAAATTTCCATCTTTTCTAGGTATATATTGAGGATATATGCATGTATTGAGTGTATATGCATATCTACACACACACATGATAAAATACAAGTGAATTCTGAAGACTTCCTTTCCTCTATATAACGCAATTACCTTAATTTCTGAGACTAGAAACCATCTCTGGGTTGCTTTTTATTCATATATTCCAATTACCCACTAGAATTCTGTATAGGTGGGTACTGAAGTTAGATGTTCAATGCATCTAATTAGATCTGAGCATTATTACAGATTTAAACCTAACCTCAAACAGCATGGGTTAAAAATACCGTCCTAATATGGTTTTGATAAAAACCAAAACAGGTGAAATAAAAGATAAGAAAGCTTTTTAAATGTTACATATTTTAATGTCAGAAACCATAAAGCAACAATAAACCTGAACCATTTTCTCCCCTTGGCTAGTCTGCTGATACTCCAGCCTTGATGTGACTTGAGGAAAAAATGCGCCGCACATTCCATACCAACAAAATCTAGGACAAGGAGGGGAAGAGAAGAAACAACTTTCTAGGGGAAAAAAAAAAAAAAGTTCTGAGTAACGGTAAACAAGAGCCACAAGTGAAAGAAGCAGGTAATACAAGCACAGATGAGCTCTGTGGCATTTGAACACAATGGCAAGGAATGAAGACAGGGAAAACTTTGGTTAGGATGTGGAAATTGTCTACAGGCTGACTAAAATTGATCTCATTAGAGAAGCATTCTTGTTTATTGCAGGATTTGTTTCAGTAGTTTTGCTAGACATTTCTTCATGTAACACCCTTGTGTTTCTCACCACCATCAAGTTGTTGTAATTTGTCAGATTACACATAGAAAACTGAAATTGTTCTGACCTGGGGCTGAAGCTGAAGGCAGGGAAATGTTCTGAGGGCCCATGCAACCTGTTCTTCATTTTCTGCCAGCGTGATCGTGCATGTGCTATAAACCAGCACGCCCCCCGGCTTCAGCAGTTGAACTGCCTAAAGAAACATGATCAGACTCTGTATACCACAAGGCCAAATAAACATTTTGCAGGATTTCAGATCTAAAAGATTCCTTAATTAGAGTGTTCTAGACTAGGTGCATTTCACTTAGAGCCATTATAGTTCACTTCAACCAAGACTTTCCTAAATAAAATCATTCAGTTTTACTGCTTTAGAAACTACTTTTTGTGCCCAAAACTCACACATGTACAATTTTTAAGTCATATTCCTTTCTGAACTCTATGCTCATATATTCACTTATCTTTTCCATATGTCTACTATCAAATTCGACAGGTCCCAAACTAAACAACTATCTTCCCTCTGAGACCTATTAGAGACGTGCTTTTTTCAGGCCCCAAACCTGGTATTATTTTGCATGCTCTTCTCTCACACTCCCCATCCATTAGCAAAATCCATTGGCTCTACCTTTAAAATATCCCAAGAATTTGGCTACTTCCACAGTTATCATTCTGGTCTGAGCCCCACTGTCTTTGTTTGGTCCAGATGACTGCAACAGACTCTGCCTCCGTCCGCCAGCTTCCTTGTCTGCCCTCCTACAACTTCTTCTCCAGCTGCCGAAGCAGTGTTTTTAAAACTTGTCCCTTCGCTGCTCAAACTCCTTCAAATGTCCCGACTTATCACACGGAATCAAAGCCCAAGTCCTTACAGTGGCTTTCCAGAACTTACACAGAGCAGGCCTCTGGCTGCCCTTCTGACCTCACCTCACACACCTCACTTGCTCTGCTTAGGAACACTGGCCTCTGCTGTTCCAAAACACACAGGGCACACTGCCACCTCAGGATCAGGGCACAAGCTTGGAAACTCTTCTAATTCTCTGTACTGCTTCATAATCTTCTTATCTTTGTGTTTATGTCACCCTTCTAGCACCTGACCATTGTAGGTAACACTGCACTATTCATATCCAATACTCCCACCCTCCCTTTAGTCTGCTCCACAGGATTACGGTTCTGTGACTATACTTAATAGCTTACTCATCTGTTTGCTTATTTTCCTCAATTAGACACTTCATGAATTAGGCAGGGATTCTTATTTTTTCACTACTATATCGATAGCACCCACAATAGTATATATTACATTGTGGTTAGGTGCTCAATGAATATATGTCCAATAAATAAATGAATCAGGAAATAGGTATTATAAGAAAATGAATTTTTCCCAAATAACTACAAGTTTATTTTTTCAAACTCCCAGATGTTTAAAAACATCACCTCCAATGAGGTGAACCTATTAGATAGATTTGTAATCCCCAGTTCTCATATATGGAAATCAATGTACCTAAAGTCACTTATGTGGAAGAAGCACAGCTCTAAACAAGATGTGTCTGATTATAAAGTCCACGTTCTCAATCAACACCTCTCAATGCTAAATGGCGAACCTACTATATTCTTAACTCTCTCCTGTATACAATCAGCTGTTTTTCTTCATTGCAAACACTGCAACTACTCTTAAGTAGCCTCTTAACATTTTCTTTCTGCTAGGACCTAAAAAGAACAAAAATCCCAGTCTTTTAAAACAGTGTCCTGGGTTGCCTGGCTAACAGTTAAACATCTGACTCTTGGTTTTAGCTCAGTGGTGATCTCAAGGTTGTGAGATTGGGCCCCATGTCTGGCTCTGTGCTCAGCATGGACTTTGCTTCAGTTTCTTTCTCCTTCTGCCTCAACTCCTACTCCCTGCTCCTCTCTCTAAATCAATCTCTCAATCAATCAATATTTAATAAAACAATGTCCTAATTTTACCCTCAAGTCAAAGTTTCAGCTATAAGTAAAGTTTCCTTTTTGCTGTTTGCTGTTTTCACTTCCAGGATGTGTTCTCTGAAGACAGCACAGAAGAAGAAAAAGTAGAATAATCAATCTACTCCCAGCACCACCTTTGTGTATAAAAGGAGATACTAGACAGATGAGCAGAGATGTACTCAAAGACAACTTTAGAGATTGAATAATTACAGTGTGCATCCATTACTGCTATAGTTTATGTACTTACAATTACAGGGCTGAGAGGAAATGATGAAATCATCTTTGGTCAAATGCTCTCTACATTCTGTGAAATCTGATGAATCATTTTTCTAAGCCTCGAATGTTCTATTTGGACACCTCCTGAAATGTGCTAGAGACCAGTTAAATTGGCAAAGTTTTTCCAGTTCTTCTAAATCCTACACTGAATAGTCCCTTCTCATTTTTTATCAATGTGTTTCCCTCCACTGGACTTCCTGCTTCTCATATGCTTAGATGATCCAGGAACCCTATTAAAAAAGAGTAATTTATTTTATATCCCATTCCTTACACATCAGTTCTTAACTATGATGTTTTGAGCTCAGTGATTCTTTAAGATATATCAGAATGTTGAAAATTCATTAAATGTCTCAGTGCAAATTCTGCTACTGCCTTTAAATCAAAGAGTGAGGGATCCCTGGGTGGCGCAGCAGTTTGGCGCCTGCCTTTGGCCCAGGGCGCGATCCTGGAGACCCGGGATCGAATCCCACGTTGGGCTCCCGGTGCATGGAGCCTGCTTCTCCCTCTGCCTGTGTCTCTGCCTCTCTCTCTCTCTGTGACTATCATAAATAAATAAAAATTAAAAAAAAAATAAATCAAAGAATGAGCAACATAAATGAAAACTGCTTGTATTTAAAACTAGGTTTTCTCTGTTCTTTGTGTGCTAAAATAAACGTAAAATTTGTCACTTTCACCAATGTAAGTGTACAGTTCAGTGGCATTAGGTACTTTTCACATGCAACCGTCACTACTATCCATCTCTAGAACTTCTCATCTTCCCAAACTCAACTCTGTACCCAATAAACACTAATTCCCCATTCTCCCGTCCCTCCAGCCCTGTTAACCTCGTTCTACTTTGTCTCTACAAACGTTCCTGTTCTAGTTACCTCATATAAACAGAAAGACACTATTTGTCACTCTGGGTCTGCTTTTATCACTTAGCAGAATCTTTCCAAAGTTCGTTCATGTTGTACTAGAATTTCATTCCTGTGTCAGACTGAATAATATTCTATTCTATGTGTACACCACATTTTGCTTATCCATTCACTTGTTGGCCTCTTGATGGTTGTTTCCACATTCTGGATATTGTGAAAAATGCTGCTATGAACTCTGCTCTCCCTCTCTGAAACATCAAACTATGAAGGTCAACTTTCTTTCATATCAAAGGAACATCACATACCACAGTGAAGAGTTTTCTCTGTAATGGTTGATATGATGTCACTTCTTTCAAAGTCCAAGAACAAGCCATGTTTGGTCTCTGTCCCATTCCACTGCATGGTGCATCAAGAAGAATTCGGTCAAAGGATTCTGGTAAGAATGGAGGGTTTCCTATGAAGAGAATTATAAATATATTTGCTATCTGCCTAGTGGTCTAAAACAGAAAACTCCTGAGATAGAAACAATTATTAGAAATTTAAAAATCATAATCTAGACTACAAAGAAAGACAATTTCTCCTTTCAAGTAGTTGGTAAAATTCATTCCAACATGTGTCAAATGATTAAAAATGTGACTATTACAATTGAGAGTTATTCTGTTGACACCATGCAAATCAAGGGCTAATCAAATAAGATGCTGTATCCCCAGTGTCTGGAGCCATGGTTCATCAGAGCTAGGACCTGGAATTAATTCTAGTCCTACTGGGATCCCTGGGTGGCGCAGCGGTTTGGCGCCTGCCTTTGGCCCAGGGCATGATCCTGGAGACCTGGGATCGAATCCCACATCGGGCTCCCAGTACATGGAGCCTGCTTCTCCCTCTGCCTGTGTCTCTGCCTCTCTCTCTCTCTCTCTCTCTCTCTCTCTATGACTATCATAAATAAATAAATTGAAAAAAATTAAAAATAATTCTAGTCCTACTGAGAGCTGACAATTCTCTTGGCAATCCCTACTGCAGATCACCCCAGAAAGGAAGAGCACCTGTTAGGTTCTAGTCAAATCTACTGATTCTGAGGTTTCTCACTCTCCTTGCTCCTGTGGCCATCAGCAAGGCTATGCTCTAGAGTTAGTCAGATTCTCTCTGCATCCAATCTTCCACAGGTTTCCTTCTGCATTCACTCGAATAACTTTCCATTGACTTCTGAGCTATTTAAGTGTTCCTGGAGAAAGTCATGGAACCAAATAGTCTGCTTATATATTTATGCCTCTAACTGCAAGCGAGACATTGCTGCCGACTGCTTTCATAAGAAGCCAGTCTACAGTAACCACAGCAATGTTCTGAATATCATACCAAGATAACCTACTTTTCTCTGACTGCAAACTGTCAGACACGAATGCTTATCAGTTTAACTCATCTCAGTCTATAACCGTCCTTGCTTTCTTACCTACTGTCTCAGAGTATCTTCTCAAAGTAAACAAGTATTTTTAAGGTTTTTGATACATACTGAAAAAATGCTCTAGAAAGACTATGCCAATTTAGTTCCATTATGATTATACTTACTCTTTCAAAATCTTCACCCAAGAATTATTTTTATTGTTGTTACTATTTTATTGGCCATTTGTATTTTTTAGATAGTCACATTCTTTGTTTTGTCCTTTTCCTACTGAGACTGTTGTCTTTCTCTTTTTAAAAATACTTTATTTATTTGAGAGAACGAGAACACAAGCAGTGGGAAGGGAAGAGAGAGAGGCAGACTCCCCACGGAGCAGGGAGCCCAATGCAGGGCTCGATCCCAGGACCCTGAGATCATGACCTGAGCCAAAAGACACTTAACCAAATGAGCCATCCAGGTGCCTTGTTATCATTCTCTTATTGATTAAAGGAGCTAGAAGGGTAGTAGCTGCTTTCTGCAGTGATTAGCTCTAAGATACCCCAATAATCTTTTGCTTTTCCAGTTCAACATCTATTTAATAGATTCCTTACACTAAGTATTTATACTAAATTATTTCTCCTTAGTATAAATTTATACTGAGTTCTTTCTGTTGAAATACCTTGTTGCTTTTTTTTAAATCCAAATTCCCCCAAGCACAGGTCTCAACAAGTTATTCATTTTCCTGACCAAGTAAAACAAAACCAAAAACTATTCCCGCAGCTACCTAAATCTCTGGAATAGACTTCTGAAACTAACAAATACAGACCATTAATAATGAACAATCTGGCCTCCTCCAGATTGTTCTCCAGCCACATTTCTTAGGACTCCTACATATTCACCTATGTTAAAAACAAACATGCATCACCCACTGTTTTTTTTTTTTTTTTTTTTTTTTTTTTTAATAAATTTTTATTTATTTATTTATGATAGTCACACAGGGAGAGAGAGAGAGAGAGAGAGAGAGAGAGAGAGAGAGAGGCAGAGACACAGGCAGAGGGAGAAGCAGGCTCCATGCACCGGGAGCCCGATGTGGGATTCGATCCCGGGTCTTCAGGATCGCGCCCTGGGCCAAAGGCAGGCGCCAAACCGCTGCGCCACCCAGGGATCCCTGCATCACCCACTGTTACCCAAAAATGTCATGAGCTTTCTTATTTCCATGCTTCTACTAATTCTATTTACTAGAGATGCCCCCTGCACTCATTTCCATTTATCAAAATGCTGACCATCCTTTCAAGGCCTAACAAATGCCACCCCCTCATCTAAACACTTTTTCCACTGTCCCTCTAAGAAATAGTCCTTCCCTCTGAGTTCGTGCAACACTTGGTATCCTTTTGGATGCATAGTCTTTTTTTCTTTTTTTTAATTTATTTATTTGGGCATTGGGGGGGGGCAGGAAGAGGCAGAGGGAGAGAGAATCCTGAGCAGACTTCATGCTGAGCATAGAGCCCAATGCGGGACTCTCACAACCCTGAGATCATGACCTGAACAGAAACCAAGAGTCAGACACTTAACTGATGGAGCCATCCAGGCACCCCTGGCTGTATATAGTCTTATAGTCCCTTAGTGTTCATGTCTTAGTCCTCCCCAGGTACTGAAAATTTCTTAAAAACCAGAATATCTACAAGCCCACACGATACCTTTGTGTGAACTAGGAATAAAGTATCTGCACCTCAGGATTAATATAATATAGTCCTGCACCACAATAAACAGAGCACAGGTTGGAACTCAGCCCCTCAACATATCTCTCAGCCAGGGGCCCTTGGACAGAGCATAACCATATGCCATGACTGTGACAGGAGTAGGGACAATGCCTCATCACTGAGCTCACTGTTCTTAACAAGTACCATTTTCATAAAAGGTGGTGGATGATTATACAGAAATTAAGAAATTCATAAAAATATTCTAGACAAATCAGACCAAGATCACCAAATGACCCCCAAATGCACCTGGTTCAAAAGAAATTTCTCTTGTTCAAAACTAGAAAGCCATGAAATGAACATTTAAGGCTTATGCATAGTATAAAAGTACCTGAATTTTTATCCATTCAAACCTTTTCCCATAATATATATAATCTTACAACTACCTTTAGTGCTTTCTAAAACTATATTAGTTTGGAATGTTGTATAAGTTGGGAGCAATTTTATGATACAAATGATGAGACTGGGCCAACTTTTGAAATGAGAGCATGGAGACCTTCTCCCCAGTGAAACAACTATAACTGGTAAAACTGTAACAAAAACAAAAACCACCATTTAAAGTCTCTAGAAGGGCAGCCCGATGGCTCAGCGGTTTGGCGCCACCTTCAGCCCAGGGTCTAATCCTGGAGTCCCAGGATCGAGTCCCACATCGGGCTCCCTGCATGGAGCCTGCTTCTCCCTCTGCCTGTGTCTCTGACTCACTCTCTCTCTGTGTCTCTCATGAATAAATAAATAAAATCTTTTTTAAAAAAAAAAAATAAAGTCTCTAGAAAATGTTCAGGATATACATCAAATGAAGAAACACTTAATAAAGAAAATCTAAGAAATGTGAGTATCTGTGGTATCTGAGCCACAATCCATTCCTTCCTTTGCCCCAACATCTCTTCTCTTCCTGAAGCTCAGAGTGAGAGTGATCCATTTCATGTAGGTGCAGCCAAGAACACATGGCTGCCTCTCTCCCTACACTCCCAGGCAAGAAATACAATATCTCACTGGAAGGGACAGGCCTGCCAGCATTTCTATCCCCTCAAATTCCATGTTGCTAAGACTCAGTTACAGGTTAAGAGCAGCTGAAAATTCTGGGGCTGCCTTCCTCCACCCAGCCCTGAATCATAAATGGGCAGCTCTACCCCAGGCACAGCAAGCTGAGAATACCAAAGCCCAAATGCACTTGCCCCAACCTAACAAAAGAACCTCCAAATATAAAAAGCAAAAACTAGAAGAGAGAAATACACCATTCAACGATGAGTTGGAGATACCTAACATTCAATAATAAAAAGAATAGCCAGGCACAAGATCAAAAAGGAAATAGAACACTTCAACACAAAGGAGACCTACAGATTATCTATAGAACATTCCACTGAACAATGGTAGAATATACATTCTTTTCCAATGCACATGGATCATTCTCTGAGAACATTAAGTGAGGCCACAAAATGCAGAAGGAAGAAAATAATAAAGGTTAGGGGAGAAATTAATGAAATAGAGAATTAAAAAAGAGAGATAAAGGATCAACAAAACAAAAAGTTAGTTCTTTGAAAGGAGCAACAAAATGGACTAAACTTTAGCTACACTGACCAAGACAAAAAGGAAAAAGACTCAAAATACTATCAGGAATTAAAAAGGGGAGATTACTACTGTCCTGATGGAAAGAAAAATAATTGAAAAGAAATACTATGAACAACAGTACAATTAATTTAGATGGCATGGATAAATTACCAGTGAAAACACAACTACTGAAAATGATTTAAGAAAGAAAATCTGAATGAATCTATACTACGGAAGAGACTGCATTAATAATTTTTTTAAATTTCCACAAAGAAAAGTCCCAGAAAGATATTTCACTGATGAATCTACCAAACATTTAGAAAAGAATAATAATTTTTGATAAAGTCTTTCAAAAACGGAAGGAAAACGAATATTTCCCAACTCATTCTCTGAGGCAAAATTACCCTAATACCAAAACTTGACAAAGGCAGCATATGAAAGTAAACTACAGACCAATATCTCTTATGAATATGGACACCAATACAAACAAACCCCATCTAGCAACATGTGAAAGCAGGATTTATTCCAGGAATCCAAGGCTGGTGAAAAATCTGAAACTCAATCAAATACAGGTAAATGCCACAAGATCACCTCAAGAGACACAGAAAAAGCATTTGACAAAATCCAACCTATCTTATGATAAAAAAAAAAAAAAACACCCAGCAAACCAGGAATAACAGGAAAATTCATCAGCCTGAAAGGGTTATCTACGAGAAACCTATAGCTACTTTTAAGCCACTTGAAAGACTAATTAGCAATAAAATATGGATGCCTTCT